TTATTGCACAAGTTGGCTATTCTGGCCATGTAATCGCGAGGACCCCGTAATCACATAGCCCGGGGTGGCCGGATCAGCCGCAGGGGGACTGCCTGGGATGCCAGGCAAGTCCCCACATTGCGATCGCCAGCGATCAGGTAAGTGCATATTTGTGATCGGACGTACCAGGTATGCCCGTGGTCGTTAACTAATATTTTTTTGTCGGACATACCTGGTACGTCCAAGGTCGGGAAGGGGTTAAATGGTTCATTAGAGGTTTAGCCTTATGGTGGCACCCATGACCTCCTCGCATCATAACAACTTCATTGCAAGAGTGGTCCTGTACATGCAGAGACCGAGAGTAGGACAAACCCCATTGACGGGTTATTCGGTCACTCAGTTATAGAGGTCAACAACTTTGGCAAAATTGTCTAGGTTAAAAAAATTGGTCCCTACCCTCACATTATTCATTAATTAAACAGGTGAGTAGAGGGAACATTTTTTAAATAGCTTTTTCTTAAAGCTTATAAATTTGCTGACAATTCTGCTATCACAATGTATGAATGTAATTTGTTTTATTTAAACGTTTATACCACATGAACTCTTTAAGGTTAGCTGGTCAGTGAAGGCTAGGTCTAAGAAGTGACGTGACTTTGTGAGATCTGCAACGGGGTTACATATAGGTGTAAAATTAAAATCCTAATTGCAGGGGCATCGCTGGGGGAGGAGGGGGCCATAGCCCCCCTTCATCATGCCTTGTCTGCCTGTGTGTACGTCACACTCTGTCTGTGTGATTTTTCGCAGAGGCACTTAATGGCCTAAGGCAGGCCCTGGCTGTATCTATCTCAAAGTGCCTGCATGGACATCCCCCAGGGGCTTCCTCTTGTCATGGAGGAATCAGTATATGGACCCCTGAGGCAGGTGGCTAACATCATATTCCAGCTCCCTGCATCTAAGAGACGGCCCGCGAGTGAGCAGAGCAGGAGGATTACAGCTCCCTTGCCGCTTTTGATGGGCTCACAGCAGCCCCACTGGACCTCAGGCACAGATCCACTCCAGCTCTCCCAAAGGTAAGGAGACTGGGTGGACAAATTAAAAAAATAGTAATTTGTGAGTGTGTGTCTGTCAGTGAATGGGTGAGTGTGTGTGTGTGTGTTTGTCAGTGAATTTGTATGTGTCTGTCTGTAAGTGTCTGTCACATCAGTGAGAGTCTGTGTCTGTCATTGAGTGTTTGTGTGCCTGTCAATGAATGTATGTGTCAGTGAGTGTACCTGTGTCTGTCGTCAGTGAATGTGTGTATGTCAAATCAGTGAGAGTCTGTCAGTGACGTCTGTGTGTTTGTCATTGAATGTGTGTGACTGTCAGTGTGTATCTGCTAGTAGGTGTGTGTTGGTGCTTTCACCCACCTTTACTTACCTTGTCAGCGTGTAGCCCTCTTTAGCACCTTGTCTGCTTGTTCAGAGGGCTCATGTAACCCATCTTTACAAGTAACCAACTTGAGCACATTACTATGGCTAACTTACATTTGCTGATGTATCCATTAAATACCTGTCCCACATACGGAAAGTTTTATTTGTAGTTTCCCTGAACATAGGTGTCCTTCCATGAAGCCTAATAACATTTTTCTCACCTTCCCCACAGGTGAGTGGCAGCCCACCTGCTGTGACATATATTCCCACAACGCCCAGCAAGCACACAGCTCACCGCAGTGAGGGCGCTAACAGGTTAATCATGAATGCCGTGTCAGCATCCATCCCAGTGCCATGACATGCTGTACCCGGTACTCCCCACTCCCCGGACCCGGCCTACAGGAAGTGCCACGTGTACCGAGTGCGCATGTGTAGGCCCGCCCGGGGGCTGGGACTCCGCACTTCCTGCTGCCAGACGGCCCAGCCAGGCTCCAGTTACCTACTTACTGCTAACTCGGGGCCTGTGCAGGGGAACCGACTTCCAGCTAACGACAGGGAGGATGAGCGGCTGAGAATCTGGATCGTACTCCAACCCTACTCAGTCTACTGCTAGTCCCCTCTGCCAAACCCAGCATGTCCGGCACTGGCTATAACTCCCAAAATGGGGGATCAGGGCCGCCCCATGCTAACGGTGAGTGTCTGACTATCAGTCTGTGTTGATGAAGGTGAAGAAGCCTTAGCCCCATAGCAGGGTCGCAAGCCTTGGCCCTCACAGCAGATGGTGTTAAAGGGTTGAGGATAGCACGTTAGAGGACGTGCTGTCAGGACCCTACACTGGGGTTTGGGGGATTCCCTGCCTCACACTGGGGGTGTTCTGTGTGACTGATATTTATTAATTTATAACTTTCTCAGTGGGGACATTGGAGATAATTATAAACAGATAGCATCGCTGTAGAGGGACTGGGTCTCTATGGGAACTCTCTTCTTGTAGGAGAGGGAGTGAGTGCTCTGTGTGTTATGTAGTACATGTCAGGCCTTGTGATGTAGTTGCTGGGATCTCCAGGATGGCCGTGGTGCAGGCCAGGATTTGAGACTCGTTTCACTGTTATGAAGTGGTCAAAGGTTAGAATGTTTTGTAAGTCCATTGGCTTGTTTCAGAACTGTTTATTATCTTTGTCTAGTGTTCTGTTCCACAGTGATATATATATATATATATATATATATATATATATATATATATATATTACTCTTAGCTTACATATGTTGCATCCTTTATAGGCGTAATGGAAGAAATCAGATTGTGCTGGAGAACCTCAAGTCCACATTTTCACTACCCCGTGAATCCAGTTTTAGTTGCCGATGTTTAATGTGATTTATAGGAAGTTATAAAGTGAATTATTGAATGATAAACTCAACAGGCAGACTTGAGTAGTAACATTTTCCCAGTGGTTCTGGCATAGAGAAAAGCTTGGTAACACTGGCTCACTTCATAACAATGTGACTAAAACAAGGGTTATCTTCTGCTTACTGCCAAATGACTTAAATATACCGAGCAACCTATAGCAGTGCCTCACCTTTTACTGCTATTTGATTGCATCATCACACATAGATGCCTACTAGATGAGATTATATATATATATATATATATATATATATATATATATATAAAGTTCATAGCCTGTTTTCATACTGTGAGTAGTAGTAATTTAGCTATTTCCTTACACATTATGATTTTGTGATTGGTTTTTAGCATACCCATTGATTTAGCCATTCATGTTATCAGTAGGCTTTAATAGCCAAACTGAATCTAAAGCTTCCCATTACCTTGTTGAATTTGGTTTCAGTGTCTGGTGTACTTTTCCCTATCCACAGCTAGATAACCATTTAGCTGACTTGGATGTATATTACTATTTTTTTATAGTAACAGTTAAACTTGACATCACAAGTCACTCTGAACGTGACCGGATGTTCAGGATACTACATATATACTATAGTTTTGGTCTGAATCATGTGCCCTAAGGAGGAACCTCTCTTGACACCAAGTAAACTCTGCATCATCAAGTATTTAATTGCATGCTTTACAGCAGTAGAGATATTTTGAAATTTAAAGTTTATTCCCACTGACCTCAATCCATACATGCATCCAATCCACAAATTTCTTTTATTTTTTTTAATCAGCCTATCTGATTAAATGATCACTTCATTTTATGGCCCTAAAACTTTACCTTTATCTTTTAATGTCTTTTCAATTTTGTTCTCAAACTTGCAGTTTTTAATTAAGATCTGCAAAGACAGCCATATAAAGAGGAGTTGTCATTAAAGGGTTACTACAACCCCCAAAAAAGTGTTTTTCATAAAGCACTGGTTTTGGTTGCAGTAAACCCATTTGTGCTGGTCTTTCACGCATCAAAATAAACAACTTAAACCTCTTTTTCTCTCAGCCTGATTCTATTTGGTTGGCTTCACTAACCTTCGTCTGAGGGAAAGGGTTGTCATAGAGGACGGCCTAAGGTGGGAGCACAGATGCTGCTATTGGCAGTGTGTCCTGGTGTCAGATGCCAGTTTTGCACAGAATTGACATTAGCTAGCCTTCCGTATGTGGGAAAGCTATTTAATCGATACATCTGGCTAATGATGCAAAAAAGGTTATTCACTGTATGTGCAGTGTTTCAAAGCATAATGCAGCACATACAGACTCCAGGCCCCATGACTACATCAAATCAATGAAGTGGCTATGGTGCTTGGCGCAATCCTTTTATGTGTATTTAGAGGTAATATGCTCACCTCTTGTTCACTTGACGCTCCCCCCTCATTTGATCAAACAAAAACAGCATTTATATTTGTTTAAGTTGGAGTGCTATTAAAATGTCTCATTAACAGTAAAGTGTTTGCAGAGCAGCACTGTTTGTAGTGGGGTTTTTAGAAGTGCCGTAGAAATTTCAAGTTTGAAGGCAGGATATCCGCTTCGAGGGCTGAGGAAAGGGGCAGATTGTTATAGTACTGTAAAGATTGTACAGCCTCTGTAGGGCGAGTTGCAGCCCCCTTAATACAAATGTTTTAAAGGAACCCTATAGCGTTAGGCATATAAACCTGAATTCCTAATGCTTTAGTGTCATGGTCCCTTGCTAGATAAGTCCGCCGTGTGTTAAATAAAAATAACAAAATTAGAGCTTTTATTTATTACTGGTATTTATAAAGCGCCAAACATTCCGCCGCGCTGTACAATTGGGAAAAAGACAATACAATAAGAACAGACCGATACAACAGGTAGAGGACCCTGCCCCTGAGATTACAATCTAAATGTAAACTGTGGAGGTGAGACAAAAAGTAACAGAGGAATTTGTATGAGATGGAATAGAGTTAATGGTATAACTGCAGCAGCTGATAGCATGTGAAGGTAATGAGGAGATGATTGTAAGATGAATGAAAGCCGGTAGAATAGCTTCTGATTTTCAGTCTGAATCTTTAAAGGGCAGTCTTCCAATTAAATGGGTCTAACTCTCCTATTTTCAGCCTTGGCACTGCTTACCTCTCTGCCTGCTTCAATATCATAAAGAAAACATGGCCTACTCTAGCGTGATCCAATACTCTTTATAGAAGACCAGTGGGGAACTGATGCACATGCTGTTGAATCAATGCTTTCTAATGGTGGCTTCCATGTCACATGAAAGTATTTTTCTCGGTCAATGCAATGGATGTGTCTCTAGTGGCTGTCAACCACTAGAAATGGAACTAACCAGCAATGTCAATATTGCAGTTTCTTTAAAAAACTAAATCTGCAATGTTGACATTGCAGGGTTAATAGTACAGGGTCACTGCTCCCAGATCACTTTATTGAAATAAAGTGGCTTGGGTGACTTTAGTGGTCCTTTAATAAGGGGGGAGGGGGGTGGAGGGGGAGAACAAATTTTATAATTATAGGAATGTCTTTATGTAAAAGACAAATTTGCATTTGTGCAATCTGAACCTTTTAACTGGGCTACTTTTTTTTTTTTTTTTTTTTAAACGTGTTTTCAGAGTGATGTAAATCCACATTGGAACATCAAGAAGTTTGAGGTTACAATAAAAGGTTGTACATCACTATATACGTACACACTCATTGATGAACAGTACTGATCATTTGTGCTATAGTGATTGCAACAGCTCTGTAATAGTGCACAACACTTTAAGATCTAATTTTTGATGCCAAAATATTGATAGTGAATTAACGCAATGTAATTTTCTGGAGAATCGAAATGATCAAACTATTGTTTTCAGTTTTGTATAAAACTCTAAAAACTGTAAAGGAAATGTTTTATACACATTAAAAGTTCTTTCCCTGCAATTTCCCTATCAGTTCTCAGCAATTCCTTGTTTATGGAATAAAACACATTATCATGCTTGTATCTGTATAATTGATATAGTGCTGAGGTGTGCAAGGGGGTATGTTATCCTGTGATTTCCACCTGACAGATTTCCTTTCCAAACAGGTCGTGTTTCAGGGATTTGTTTGTATTACTGTAGCAATTTATGAAGAATCCTGGCATATTTCCTATACTCGTTGTCTTCCTGCTACACTTACAACCGTTCTTGCCACATGTACAGCTTTCATAAACTGTGATGTGGCTTTAACTTTTATCATGTTGTTTTACTCTACTTAATCTTGTTAACTGTAAAAATAATTTTTCTTTGTTCTTTTGACATTACTGTAAATATAACATTTATTTGGTTATTTTTTACTAAATTGTTATTTACATGTATTTTTCCCATCTCAGATCCTACATCATGATATTTTATCCATATGGAATTGAGAGGGGGGGGAATCAGCAGAACTAGAAACCAAGTTTACTAACTAAAGTTATTAAAGTAGCACACCAAACACAGAACCACTATAGTACAGTGTAAAGAGTCTCCATACATTAACATTCCGTTAAAGTGAAACTGTGTTTGGGTGGTTTGAGGAAAGCTGGGACTTTCCTGTTTAAAATCCAGCCCCTTTTCTGCATTTTGTCTAATGTGGAAGTGAGTACTGTATCTTTCCTTAGTCCAATATTGAGACTCCGTAATAGGCTACAAGTACTAGGCTAACTTGCTTGCAAACTTCTCAGCTTTTTTTTGCCTTCCATAGTTCACTTCTGCTTTATCCAAAATACAGCAGAAGGGCATGGCTTTAGTTGCTCTGGACAGCACATCAAACCAGTCAAATGATCTTCCAAACCAAGGAGTCTGTGCTAGACTCTGCACTATAACATTGAGCTTTAGTGGTTTTGGTACTTAGAGAGCCCCTTTAACACAGAAATATCCGAATTTTTTTTTTTTTTTTTTTTGTGTAAAACTCAAACTTTAACATTGATTTATAATACTTTTTAAAAGCTTAAATGGCTGATGTCACACCCACAAGCCTAAAAGCAGTGGCCTCCATCAAACACTTGGAGAAGAATTCTTGCTTGATGCCACGCATGAATAAAATGTTGCCTGAAAGATGAGGAAGTCCGCTTGAAGGACGAAACGCATAGGGCTGGGAGAAAGACCTAGTGAATATATTATTTTATCTCATATTTTTCCTGTTATTTTATTTTATGTGTATGGGCTGAAAGCTGCCATATAGTTGCCGACTACAGAGGACTGTGTTACATCATACCCTAAGGCTGGATATATACCTTACTATATGCATACTTGAAGAATTCATCTTGTAAATGAAAGTATTTGAACTTTTAAAGGAATACACTGTTTGCCTTTCTCCCTCTATTTTCCATATGGTCTATGGATTGAGAAAACACAACAGAAGGTTTACATCTCATAAACAAACCTTTACGTGCCTGTTACAAGTTACTACTTGTGAGTAACCCTACATAACCCATAGCTCATCGCATCTTTTCACGTTACTCCAGTTTCGCCCTTCATTTTAGATTGTAATTTGCATGTTCATATAATAGAAGATAAGCGGAATCTTCTTACAATCTTAAAACTATATAAGGGTATTTTTACCACTTATATTTTCACGTGGCTTGGGCGTGCTATTGTATATATTCTTTGGTTATATATTATATTTCTATATTAAGAAATTAATTCTGTCTGGATGTCATCAGCAAGATCATGAATAAACACAAGAGTGTTGTTCGAAGGTGGTACAGCTTCAATTATTTTACACAACGTCTCACTTAAAATACACTTTTTCTTTTGCACATGGTTTTATTGATAACTCAATTTTGTGTGTGCTGTGCGATAACTTGCTATGTAAGAATCCTCTGTGGCATTTTAATGTTTACATTTTTTTTTTCTTCATAAACTGTTTCATCTTCTGATCCTTTGATACTTAGATCTTTGTACTCTGCGTGGTTTTGCTCTAAATGACAACGTAATTTAGCAGGTGCCAAAACTAGCAATATTTTCTTGCAAAGTAAGCAGCGTGATTCAGGGCAATGTTCATTTCTGGCTTCTATGAATCCAACTGACTAGTAACTGTCATCATATATTTAAATTTTTTTGTTTGAGAAGATTTGGTAGCATTATGTGCTTTTCTTGTTATCTTCAACTAGTCACTTGTCTCTGATATATGAGTAACAGTAGGTTCAACTACATTGCAACTATTTTCTTGATTTCTTCTTGTATCTTCCTTCTCCGTTTTATATAAATGTCAAACAATTAGTTGTAATATATATTTTTTTTCCTCTTGATAGTTTCTTACTTTAACCAGCTGTCCAAATTCATGGTTGTTGGTTCTGTCTTGGAGTAAAAAGAACACTTTTCTAACCTTGAAATAATCATATTTTAGTAAATGAGTAAAAGGCTGCACTTCTGTTCTCAGCTGTTATTAAGCAAGTAAAGTGCATTTTGGTTTAAGTTTTTGGAGTAAAAAGAACACTTCCCTAATCTCGAAATCAACCGATTTTAGTACTTGAGTAGGTGCTGGCAAATGGCAACAGTACTTTGATTGCCCACCATGACAACTCAGGCTATTCTTTGAGTAAATCACTCAAGAAAACAAAAATAAACAATAAGAGAAGTATCTTAACCCCTTAAGGACACAGCTTCAGAAGCTTGACTTACGCTTAATGACACAAGCAATTTTTGCATTTTCTTGCTGTTTGCGTTCAACTGCAATTTGCATCTCTCTCATTTATTGCACCGACACATATTATATACTGTTTTTTAAAGGACAGAAAGGGCTTTAATTTGATATAACATATATATATATAAATGCTTACTTATTATAAAAAAAATACAGAAAAATGCAAAAAAAATGAAAAATATTGTTTTTTTTTTACAGTTTTTGCAATAATAATGTGTGCATAATTAGTGCAGGTTAAGGAAAGTAATTAAAAATAAATTAATTTAGTTGTTCTGATTTACAGAATATATAATGTGTCTGGGATTTTAAGTTTTTTTTGGTAGTTACAGGTCACAAAGCACAAGGAGTAAAATAAAATTTTAATGTGGAGCGATTTTAGAATTTGGTATGTTTGTCTTGTAAGCTTAATAGCCATAAAAGAAAACAAAATTGCCACACAAAAGTATATATTTATATAAAGTAGACATCACGGGCTATTTACCTAAGGTTGTTTTGACACTTTCTACGTAGCCATATTACCGCCAACCTCTGCTAAATATTGGAGTAAAATTGTGTTCTTTTTGGTTTTTGGCACACAAACTTATAACAGAGAAATTCTCGTGTATATTTTGTAAAGTTGGTGTGTGCTATTCCTGTACAAAGTTTTATTTTGTGTTCAGTTACATCTGCTGAGTAAAATGACACCCCCATTGTATGTCTTTTGCACTATTTCGTGAAGTTACAGTGCCATACAGGATACCTGTCCTTTTCAGTATTCACAGTAGAATGTTGAGAGATAAATTTAATGAGCCTTAGCTTCCATTTGGGGTATTATAACAGTTTGACTGTTCAAAAAACCCCACAAAGGCCTACCATTTGTAAAAGTAGACACTCCAGGGTATCTCATAAGGTGCATATTGTGCCTTAACATGCCCCCATTTTTTCACCAATATATGCCAAAGTATGTGGTAAAAAAAATTTTGTGCATTTTTTACATACGGATTGCATTTTTGCTGGGCGTTTTGTATATTTCATATGTGCCACTAAGTTCAAACCTCCCAAATTATGCTCAGCTAAGTCTTCTGAGTAAAATGACACCCCATATGAATGTCTTTGTCACTATTTTGTGAAGCTACAGTGCCATATAGGAGACCAAGCCATATCCGTTTTTACCAAACTTTGAATTTTGACGCTGGGCCTATGTGCAATTTCCAAGCATCTTCGCAGGTTTTAAATTCAATCTACCCCACAAAGGCCTACCATTTCTTAAAGTAGACACCCCAGGGTGTTTCAAAAGGTATAGTTTGAACCTTAGCGTGGGATCATTTTTCCGCTAGCTTGTACCAGATGTAGTGGTAATAAGCATTTTTTCTGCTTTTTGACATACAAAGTGAGTTTGCACAGTATATTTTGCAAACCTTATGTGTGCTACGACTGTATAATACTTCATATGTTGCTCAGCTATGTCGGCTGAGTACAGCAATACCCCCGTATGTACCTTTGCCAGGTATGTGTGGACATCGGAGGGGCACATTTGGGACACAGCCATTCCAGTTTTTTTCAAACTTTGAATTTTTATGCTGTGCCTATGTCCCATTTTAGAGTATTTTACCAGGCTATATAATCCAAATTCCCCATAAAGCCATACCATTTCTTAAAGAAGACATCCCAGGGTATTTCAAAAGGCATATTTTGAACCTTAGTGTGGGATCATTTTTCCGCTAGCTTGTACCAAGTGTAGTGGTAATAAGCATTTTTTCTGCCTTTTTGACATACAAAGTGAGTTTGCGCAGCATATTTTGCAAACCTTATGTGTACTATGACTGTATAATACTTCATATGTTGCTCAGCTATGTCGGCTGAGTACAGCAATACCCCCGTATGTACCTTTGCCAGGTATATGTGGATGTTGAAGGGGCGCATTTGAGACGCAGCCATTCAGTTTTTTTCTAACTTTGAAGTTTTACGCTGTGTCCATGTTCCAATTTGGAATAGTTTAGACGGTTGGTTATTGAAACTTCCCCACAAACACATACTATTTATTAAAGAATACACCCTGGGGTAATTCAAAAGGCATATTTTGAACCTTGGCGTGGGATAATTTTTTCTCTAGTTTGTTCCAGGTGTAGTGGTAATGAGCGTTTTTAAAATGTATTTTTTTACTTTTTATAACTTTTTTACTTTTAAAAACTAGTTTTTAAACTTTTGTTTTGCTTATAAATTTTTTTTAAACTTTCCTAAACTTTCTTAAAACTTTTTTACAGATTTAACATTTTTCTAAGCTATTTTTTTTACTGTTAACCCCTAACTAGCAGTACGCAGCACTAACAGTAAATTCCCCATTTTCCCATAACTCCCACCCACCCCAGCTAGCAAAATATATAGTTATAAAATATTTAAATTAATTAATTAAATAAATTGAACCCCTGAGGGTTAAAAAAAATAAATAAAAGTTAATCCTCAGGGGTTAAAAAAAATTAGATCACAGTATAATACTGTGATCTCTATTTGATCGCTGTAGGCAGTGATCGACTGGCAGGGAAGGGGTTAATTTTTATTTGGACTAGGTAAAGTGTGTTTTTTTGTTTTTATTACTTAAATGTTATTAAAACATTTTTTTAAGCTTAATTTTTAACTTTTTAAAGTTTCTTTTAAAACTTTTTTTAACGTTAACCCCTAGTTAGCCTAACGTCAAATCCCCCAATTCCCCACTAACTTCCACCTACCCCAGCTATCTAAATATAGAATTTAAAAATAATTTAATTAATTTAATTAATTTACCCCCTGAGGGTTAAAAAAAAAGAATTAACCCTCAGGGGTTAAAAAAAAAAATCAGATCATAGTAAAATGTAATCCCTGCCAATTGATCACTGTAGTCAACACTTAGTAAACAAGTAAAGTACCTGTGCTTTATCTGTCGATATTTGAGCAAAATGCACTGTTGTGTAACCTCTAAGTAATAAGATTTTTGTACTTTTGGTGCAGAAGCTATTTTTTGTGATGATTTCTACAGATCGGTCCCTGACCCATGGTTTACTATGGCACATGTACCATGCATGACACCTTAGGTACCTTTGCACAGCATTCAAGCCTGCCAGAGCAAAGCAAGCTCTGGCCTATAGCACTTTAGATATTTGCTAGTGCAGCCCAAGTGGGGCTTGCAGAGGGACAATCTTAAATTTCTGCATCTCAGATCACTTCCTCCCAGCACTTTAAAAAAAAAAAACCCTGCACTTTCACTGTCGATGTCATTGTTATGAAACACTCATATTTGTGTTCTGCGAAATCTCTTGAGTATAACAGTACGCCCCATGTACTGGTTTTATAGTGGTTTTGAAAGTTACATGGTCAAATATAAGGCATGCCCATTTAATTTTTTTCATTGAAATTTGCCATATTGGTTATATTGCATTTGAGACCGTATGGTAGCCCAGGAATAAGAATTACCCCCATGATAGCATACCATTTGCAAAAGTAGACAACCCAAGGTATTGCAAATAGAGTATGTCCAGTTTTTTCTAGTAGCCACTTAGTCACAAACACTGGTCAAAGTTAGCATTCATATTCATTTTTTGCATTTTTTTTTTTTTTTACACACACACACGCGTGCTAACTTTGGCCAGTGTTTGTGACTAAGTGGCTAGTACAAAAGACTGGACATACCCTATTTTAAATACCATGGGCAGTCTACTTTTTCAAATGGTATATCATGGTGGGGTTTATTTTCATTTCTCGGCTGCCATACTGTCTCAAAGGCAACATAGCCAATCTGGCAAAGCCCAATTTACAAAAACAGAAATTGGCTTATGTTTGACCCTTTAACATTCCAAATCACTATAAATCCTGTACTTGAGGGGTGCTGTTGTACTCGTGAGAGATTACTCTACACAAATATGAGTGTTTTAGAGCAGTAAAATTTATTTTCCTGATCTCATCGGTGAAATGGCAGTTTGTGTAAAAAAAAAACCACTAAAAAAACAACAAATATAAACAGTAATTTGGCTACTAAAAACAAGTGGATATACCCTATTTTGAATACCATGGGTTGTCTACTTAAAAATAAACAGTATGTAATATATGTGGGTACAGTAAATGAGTAAGAGGAAAATTACAGCTAAACACAAACACCACAGAAATGTAAAAACAGCCCTGGTCCCAAACAGTAAGAAAATTGAAAAGCGGTCTGGTCACTAAGGGATTAAAGTAACACTATAGCGTTAGGAAGATATCCTCCCTTTAAACCATTTGCTCTAAAAATTTGTAAAAAGTTTTCTTTGAGGTTAAAGGATCCCTATAGGGTCAGGAATACAACCATGTATTCCTGACCCTATAGTGTTAAAATCACCATCTTGCCCCCCTGGGTCCCTCATGCCTCCATAAATATAGTAAAAATCTTACTGTATTCAAGCTTGAAGCTGTAACTCTGCATGCTGTTACTCAGAAAAACAAGCAGTGTGCTGACATCAGAAGTAGTAGCCTGATCCAATCACAATGCTTCCCCATTGGATTGGCTTAGACTGACAAAGCGAAAGATCAGGGGCAGAGCCAGCATAACTCACACAGCCCTGGCCAATCAGCATCTCCTTATAGAGATGAATTGAATCAATTAATCTCTGAGGAAAGTTCAGTGTCTGCATGCAGAGGGAGGAGATACTGAATGTTTGGATGCATTTTAGGCAGTCATGACCCAGGATGGATCTCTAACAGCCATCTAAAGAGTGGCCAGTGAAGTTATCACTAGGCTGTAATGTAAACACTGCAATTTCTCTGAAAAGACAGTGTTTACAGTAAAAAGCCTGAAGGTAATGATTCTACTCACCAGAACAAATTCATAAGCTGTAGTTGTTCTAGTGACTATAGTGTCCCTTTAAGTGGTGTAGGTGATTCCTTTTAAAGGGATACTCCTGGCACCCAGACCACTTCTGCCCATTGGAGTAGTCTGGGTGCCAACTCCCACTACCTTAACCCTGCAAGTGTAATTATTGCAGTTTTCATAAACTGCAATATTTACATTGCAGGCTTAAGTCCTCCTCTAGTGGCTGTCTACTAGACTTCATAGAACACGAAAAGTGTTTTAAAACGACGCTGGACGTCCTCATGCAATGTGAGGACCTCCAGCGTCGCTGAAATCCCAATAGGAAAGCATTGTATGATGCTTTCCTATTGCGAGGTTTAATGCGCTTGCGCGCCCATTGCCTGCGGCCGCGCATGCACATTAGGCCTCTCCAGCGGGGGAGGAGCATAGGCGGAGCCTGACCAGTGCCGAGGGACATCGACGCTGGACTCCGGTAAGTCACTGAAGCGGTTTTAAACCCTTCAGCAACTTGGGGTGGGGGGTGGGAGGTAGATGGAGCACTAGAGGTTCCTTAATTCGTTTTCCTGGCACTGGAGAATCCCTTTAAATAACAAATATTTTGTAAGTTATAGTTAAAGAAAAGTAAAGACTGAATTTCCTTATGTATAATAGGTTGACTGCCTGCAAGATTGACTCTTCCCACTCACCCTGCATTTTGGGAGGTGGGATGTTTTTGTCATAGATTACTTGTTTTCTTTATCTTTTAGCACAGAACTGCTGCGATTGGTAGTGATTTCCAGGTTAATAATATTGATGATGCTTCTGTGGTTGACATGTTTCCTGTGTCTGACGACATTGTTAGGGGGAAATAAAAACAAGTGTTTTGCAACATGTGTGCTTGGGGGTTTGCACCATTATATACAACTTTTTCATAAAATGACACACACTAGTTTTTATTGGTGGATGTTTGCACTTTAAGATGCATTGCCAAAGTATATTAATGCCTTTGAGTTTTGCTTTATGTTCCAGAGGGACCATTACATTGAAACAACTTGCTGATCTAATTTATTATTCTAACATCTCTGGGAAAGAGGAATGAAACAGATTTCACAGACTCTCCTGTTATGCGTTCTTATGACCACTTAATTTTTGCTTAATTTGGGTTGTAGAGCAAGGCTGTGGTTATGAGTTGCACTCATTTAAGGATGTTGCTCAGTTCCTTTGCTGCTGATTCTAATTCTCTGTCAGTAACCATGTAATCCCAAAGACTGAATGTTTGACCCTTTGCTTAAATAGTGTCTGTCATGGATTGGTTGACTTCCATGTCATGATAGATGTGCGGATTAAGGGGTTAATAGTAACCTGAACTCTTATAGCTTGTCAGCCTTCCTCCCAGGGCATCACACTACCTCAAACTATTTCTCAACCCAAGTATTGCATACATATTATTATATTTAATACTCTTGTACCAAGGTTAAATTTACCCCAAACCATTCTAAAATTGTACACAATCACAATTTAAAGGAAGACTATAGTGTTGGGAATACAAACATTTAATCCTAACGCTATAGTGTTATAACATAACTTTAGGTACACCCACAATGAATTTAAAAAAAAAAGTTTTACTTGCCTTCTATCCCTTGCACGCTGGTTTTGCTGTGGTCGCACCACCTCCTCTAGTTGATCATAAATAATGCCGATCATGGCCGATCCAATGTTTTCTCATAGGGAGGGCTAGTGCGCTTTTGTGGCAATGGCTGCTCTTCGCCAGTCAGCATATTCTCATAGAGATGCCGCCGTGTCTTTGTATCTCTAACAGTTGCATACATCATTTCCATTAAAAGCATGGAGACACTGAACGTTGGTTCTGCAATTTTTGGATTGCGTTTATGATCCTCCGTATTGTCTGTTACTTCAAATAATGTGTTGTGTGTATGTGCTACATTAATAAATATCCCCTTTATTAAATTGGATCCAAACATCATCTAGATATGAGGATACTGACACCATTTAACACCACTCTTGACTTATCAACCATTATTCATTGTAAGTAGGGATGCACCAGAATGAAAATTCTGGTCCGAAACCGAAAAATCAGGATGCCCTTGGCCGAAAACTGAAAATAACGTTTTTTTTTTTTTTCTCCAAAATTGTTTTAAAATAGTTTTTTTCTATAATTTTATTATTAGACCTTTTAATGAATTTTATGAATCTAATATGAAAAACTACAAGCAAAAAATAAATAACACTTTGATTGAAAGTAACATCAAAATTGGACAAAAAATAACTTTAAAAAACAATATAAATAAAAATCTGTTAAATCTGTTTTGTTATATAGGAGTAAAGAATAATATATTGTTGATATTAATTTAATAGTCAGTGTCTCTGTATTGCAGTCCGTTTATAATGTATATGTGTGTGTGTGTGTGTGTGTGTGTATAATAGTCTCCTTTCTGTAATGAACTTTTCCAGTCTCACTCACACTCAGTCCATGTGTTACAAAGCATGTCTTCATGTTACACATTTACTCTGCAGCTTTCTTTAACCAGTAACACTGCCAAACAGATCTCACACTGTGCCCATACTCTCTGTAGAGTTTAACATCATTCCTGCCCTCATCCAAAATGGCCGCTCGGTAACACCCACTTCCGGTGACGACATATCCGTGTTCTGTAATAGTGAAGGAGTCTGCATCTGCAGTGAGTGCAGGCATTGTGCTCCAGAGACAGACCCAAAGTGGCTTCACTGAGGACACTGGAGTACCGCACGAAGGGGAAGGTGGTAGGTGGGGCAAAGAGGGAGGTGTGATTTTCAACAGATTTAACCCATTTTCGGCCGAAATGGGATAGCCCCATTTTTGGCCGCCGAGATTTTGGTGCATCCCTACCCGAAACCAAAATTTAGGATGTCCTTGGCCAAAACCGAAACCAAAAATGACTTTTTCCCCAAATGATTTTCAAAGTTTTTATTTTTTTTTCTATAAATTTGTTAATATTAGATTTTTTAAAATGAATTTAATGAATCCAATATGAAATACTTCCCTTCTCCTTTAGTGGAACCCCCTCCCCCAGTGTTCCTCTCCCCTCCCTCTTTTTTAGTGTTCTGTTCCCCCTCCTCCCCAGTCCCATAGCCTTCTTCCCCCTTCCCTGTCCCATAGTGCAAAAAAAGGTTGAATGGGTATTTTGAAGTGCTTGAACTCTTAACCTGCTGTTAATTTTAACACGGGGACTAATAAATGCAAGCTCCAGTAAGGAGAATGTCTTCAAAAAATATTAAACATCTCTTATGAATATACATAGAATAATTTACATTTGTGCAATCATAATTATGAAGATTACATTTTCTGTGTATGTACTAATGCTTTAACTTTTTCTTTTCAAGGTCCAGTTCAAAACCAATTGATCTATCCACCCCAGTTATCCTTGGGCCAAGGATTCAGTTCTGTTCTACCAAACTCCAACCCACAACAGATGCCACTCAAGGCTCCTCAGCATGCAGTCCCTGGATTATACAGTTATTATGGTGGTCCTCAGACTTCTCCACAACTGGTAAACTACCAGGGATCTGGACAGGTTCATAATAGACCGCCTATGGGAGTTATGCCGACAGTATCTCTTCAAAATGCTGGACTTTCCTCCAGGATGCCAGCGTCCTCTCAAAACTCTACTGGTGTGCCAGCTACTGTTGGTGGCAGTGTTCCCAGAATAAACCCAGCAGCAAGCTGGCAGTATTTTCCAACACCTTTGAGTCATGCACAGCCGCAAGCTCATGGAAATAATGCCCCCCCAACAACTGGGACAATATCAGGACAAACCCCACAGGGAAATCTACAGCCACCAGTTTCACAGCATTATGGGGCTTCATTTGGAGGTCCTCCACTTCAGAACAGTTTTATGAGTCCAGGTATGGTAGATGTTTGGAGTCTATGAATTCTATCCTAAAATGTAAACCGTTAGTGTGGTAACACTGCATGTTTTACCAATCCTATGTTTCTGCATTCAGACTTCTGCTCACACACAAAATATTTTGTATTCGAAAATAATTGTCTAATTATGTGTGCATACATTTAGTTTCTAATGAACAACATTCCTTCTCCACTTCTGTTTCCTGTTCCCACACATCATGGGCAAATAGGATGTGTACAGTTTTACACAGCTGTGGACCATGCATGCGCTGTTTTAGGTTCAATCCTCCAGGGAGGAGAGCTGTTGGACAGAATTAACATGGGCAACTCTCAGAACAATGAGTTAGTGCAGGAGGATCTGTTCATCTTACATCTTGCCTGCACAACTTGCGTAAATGTTAAAAGGACAATGCCACCTCAAAGCTATTGTTTAAAGGACCACTATAGGCACCCAGACCACTTCAGCTCAATGAAGTGGTCTGGGTGCCAGGTCCCCCTAGTTTTAACCCTGCAGCTGAAAACATAGTTTCAGAAACTACTATGTTTACATTGAGGGTTAATCCAGCCTCTAGTGGCTGTCTCCCTGACAGCTACTAGAGGCCGCTTCCGCGATTCTCAGCGTGAAAATCACACTGAGGTGATGCTGGACGTCCACAGAAAAGCATTGAGTAATGCATTTCTATGGGCGGTTCGAGTGCGTGGCTCTTGACGCGCATGTGCATACGGAGCGGACATTGGCAAGGGGAGGAGAGGTCACCAGCGCCGTGGGAGTCCGGCGCTGGATTAAGGTAAGTGGTTAAAGGGGTTTTAACCCCTTCAGCCCAGCGTGAGGGGGATTCTGAAGGGGGGGGGGGGCGGACCTAATAACCCTATAGTGCTAGGAAAATGAGTTTGTTTTCCTGGCACTATAGTGTTCCTTTAATGTAATAATATATAATTTAATAAGTCATTTTATCATGTTTTGAAAGGAAAACAAACAGTATGTTCAAAAATAAAGATGATGCAATGTTTGAAAACCGATCGCTTCTAAGCAGGGAATCAAGCAGGCAAGACCACAGAGACTGAGAATTGGATGATTCTATATAAGTAACCAAACAGCAGCCAAAATAATAAAGCAGTTTCAGATAAAATAACTAATTTGCCTTTTGTAAACAGAAGAATTAATTTCTGTTTAAACAGCCAAATAGTATTAAAAGAATGGACATTAAGATATTTCTTAAGACACTGGATTAATGTGATACTGGCACTTTTTGATTTTATTATATGGTTTTACAGTATATCCATTTGTGTGGAGACTCTGCAGGTGAAATGCATCATTTATCCAATGATGATGTAAAATATTACATAATAAACTTCCAGCTAGACATGTGCATTTGTGCACTCTTCTTTAAACAAATCTGTTTGTTTGGCAGTGAATTGACTGATCATTTTAAAAATTAAAGGACCACTATAGTGCCAGGAAAACATACTCGTTTTCCAGGCACTATAGTGCCCTGAGGGTGCCGCCCGGCTCTGGAAAGGGGAAAGGGGTTTAAACTTACCTTTTTCCAGCGCTGGGCGGAGAGCTCTCCTCCTTCTCTCCTCCTCCGTTCTGCCCCGTCGGCTGAATGCGCGCGCGGCAAGAGCTGCGCGCGCATTCCGCCGGTCGCATAGGAAAGTATTTACAATGCTTTCCTATGGACGCTTGCGTGCTCTCACTGTGAAAATCAGTGAGAAGCACGCAAGCGCCTCTAGCGGCTGTCAATGAGACAGCCACTAGAGGCTTTGGGGGAAGGCTTAACCCATTAATAAACATAGCAGTTTCTATGAAACTGCTATGTTTATTAAAAAATGGGTTAACCCTAGCTGGACCTGGCACCCAGACCACTTCATTAAGCTGAAGTGGTCTGGGTGCCTAGAGTGGTCCTTTTAATTGAAAGGATTTCTGTGCTGGGCTAATCAATTTGTTATCAAACTAATGTAATGTACAATGAATACACGTTTTCTACAGCAGTCGAGAATACATTTTGATTCTAGTAAGAAAAATGGGTGCAGATTTATATTTAGGTAATGCAAAAAGATTGTAAAGGGGAGGAATGTTAAAGAAGAGCTTAAGTGTTAGGAATACAAACCTGCATTTCCGATGCTATAGTGTGCCTTGTCCTTACTTTATTAGGTTCCCCAAACTCCTGTCATTAAATGGGTTAAAAACTCACTCCCACTGATGGGGGAACCTAATGCAAATGTGTGGCAGGCCCCGCATTCACATTAAAGTTTTCCCACAGAAAAGCACTGAATAAGTGCTTTCCTATGGGGAATTGAAGATATTGGACATCCTCAATCAAAGCATGAGGACTTCTACGTCGTTTCTTTGAGTACATGTTTGTTAGTCCACCTATTGTACAGCGCTGTGTAATTTGTTGGTGCTTTATAAATAATAATCATAATAAAACTCCATTAGAGTCCATGAAGTGCCTCTGAAACACAGCCACTAGAGAATGTCTTAACGCTGCAATGTACCCAAACCACTTCAGTAAAGATTAAAGGATCACTATAGTGTCAGGAAAACAAATCGGTTTTCCTGACACTATAGTACCCTGAGGGTGCCCCACCTTCAGGGTCCCCCTCACGTGGTGCTGAAGGGGTTAAAACCCCTTCAGTTACTCACCTTCTTCCACCGCCGGGCTCCCTTACCTCTCCTCCCCCGTCTGACGTCAGCAGAGCGGAATGTGCACGCATTCAAAGTGTCCATAGGAAAGCTTTTTTCAATGCTTTCCTATGGACGCTTTGCGTGATGGAGGAATTAAATGCTTCCAGCGTCACAGATGCGCCTCTAGTGGCTGTCTGGAAGACAGCCACTAGAGGCTGGCTTAACCCCAAATGTAAACATAGCAGTTTCTCTGATTTACAGCAGGCAGGGTTAACCCTAGCGGCACCTGGCACCAAGACCACTTCCTTGAGCTGAAGTGGTCTGCGTGCCTATAGTGTTTCTTTAAGTGGCCTGGTTGCTTATAGTGTCCATTTAACAAACATGTGCTTTACTTTGTAGTGCATGTCATTACAATTAAATTAAACTTACAACCAGTATGATTGCCAAATTGCCCTGCAGTGTTTTCATTCTGCAAAGCCAAGAGTAAAATAAGGGCAAATAGGCATTTGTTTTGTGATGCTTAGCACATATCGCACATTTACCATATGGTGAACCAACAATGTTTGACAGGAAACTGTAAGCACCAAAACAATGTCTGGGGCATTTCCTGATTTAAGCCTCAGACTGCAACAGAAGTTTGTGCTAGATTCAAAACTGTTTAACCAGTTGGGCGAAATCAGCGCCCAGGGATCTGCTTGCACCATAACAACCTAATTCAGGTTTAAGTTTTAGTGCTTCAAATGTTTAAGAATTCAAAGATCTTTATTTTACATAGGGCGTGTTACAGTGATCATAAAAAGGAAACCCCTCATTACATTGTTAAATGATGCTTTGCCAGTCTTAATACCCCTGCTGTATAACATTCTGTCTGGCAGCTCTTGTCAAGGAAACTAAATTGGTTTGATGGTTCATGTTACATGTTTATTAATGTTTGCATAGAGTTGCTTTTCAGCTGTATGAGTACCATATATTTTGCATCTACTTGCTTAAATTACAACTACATTGAATGCTGAGCTCTGTCTGTACAGACCATGTGTACTAAAAATTTATGAAAAATACATTTTATTTATTTCAGCACCTATCAATGCAAACACTACATGAAAGTGTGAGAGCACATATATATATTCTCTCATACTTTTCAAATTTGAAAACAAGTTGATATTACATTTGTTTAGGTGTGTGTTTTTTTTTTTATTTTTTTATTTTTTTTTATTTGTCGAATCACAGTTAACACTGCTGCTGATTGTAATGTCCTTTCACCTTTAATCTTCTGACAAAGTATTAATTGGCTCTAGCATGGAGTAAAGGTACTTGTAGCTAGTTGTACTTCCAACTTGGATGAATGTAATCATTTTTAAAAAAAAATTTTTCTTTTTTTTTCTTTGAAAACTCACTGTCCTCTGTTTACATAAACTGTGAGTTTGTTTTATCAGAGTAGCTGATAAAACTGTATTTTTTGTTGATTGAATTGAAACTGCTTTAAAGAGACACCAAAGTCACCAAAACAACTTGAGCTTAATACAGCTGTTTTTTTTTTGTGTAGATCGTGCAGTTTTACTACTTCACTATCTGCCATTTAAAAGTTAAATCACTTTTGTTTCTGCCCATGCAGCCCTAGCCACACTAGGCTCAGTAAGTGTATATTTTTGTGATTTTATTTGAGTGTGGACTGTCTCTTTCACTATTGGAATTCTCACGCTTGTGATATTCAACTGGGACAATTGTGTGACCTGTGGTACAATTAATAGAAGTGTGAAGTGAATGAGAGATGGTGGTCCAGAATTGTACATCGGCTGTCATTGTTGGGTGTATTTTGAGTGTGTGATTTAAAAAAAAAAAAAAAAATAATAAAAATGTTTTACATTCATACTTTATTTGTCGGGTACAAAAGAGGAAGCACATAAACCCCACAAAGTAAAAACACACAACGATACAAAGATTGGTGCATATTGTAGTATTACATATGTTGTAATATCTATAATACTACTGTTATCACTAATAATTCTAATGCTCCCTCATAACGCTTTATACAGCCCTGACCTTATCATTACTCACTGTCAGTTGTTTGACTAGTCCCTAACTTTACAATGTCTTTATGCAGTAAGTCTAGCCATGGTTTTCATTTCTCTAATAATTTGATTTGACTTCTCGCAAATGTTATAGCTGCATATTCATATAAATAATAGTGTCTTATCAATCGATTATGTGTTGGACAGGTGGCAAGTGTGTAATTTTAAGACATGACTTATCTTGTTCAGTATGCTCCCTGTCCTGCTTTTGTCAGTTATAGTTTACTAACATGTTTGCATTTACCTTATTTGCTTTGTAAATACAGTGTGAATATTGATGCACTGACTTGTTTCTGTAGGATCTGATCCAGCAAATGATTCTCATCCTGGCCGACCACCATTGGGACCTCCACCTAGTTCATCCCCTTCTTTAATAAGACCACCAACACAACATACTAGTCCACCAAGTGGCACGGGGCCACCACCACCCTCACTTTTGCAAAGTGCTCCTACACAGGATGGTAAGTCAACAAACTGATTGTTAATGAAGGTTATGGGTTTGATTCAAACAAAACTTGTTTTGTGAATCTGCTTCAGGTAATAACTCTTATGGTAATCATCTCAAAGACTGCTTGCATTAAATGCCTGCTGTGCAAAGTACTAGTGGTGAACACTCACATTATCAGTAGAACTTTGCTAGTGATCCCCAATCTAGCAATTTCATGGAATAAAAAGAATGGTTTTGAATGTTAGTCATTGTAAGTAATGTACTTACTTTGCAGTATAGTGTTTTTAATGCTTATCCTGACAAAGGTGTTTTTATACAATACTTTAGTATTGTTCAGCATGACATAATGGGAGCTCAACAATTTTCCACTGGGATCTATGTCAAATGCAACAGTCTTCCTCCTGCCCCAGTTATTCATTTGCGATGAAGCCATGGCCAGTTCAGGATGTCACAAACTGCTGTTCATATTAAATCTCATTGGCTAACGACAACACTTTCCGTTGACCTGCGCACTGATGTTTTGACCTAAACATGATTTTTAGTGATGCATGATTTGCACAGCCCACACTCAAGCTTCTGATAATAGTGCACTGTGTCAGTTGCGCTGAAGTTCCTGTGTGGTAAACCTCAAACCAAGCCATATGGTATCAGTCTCAGATCTTAACAGTAATCCATTTTGCTGAAATGCTTAATGGTATTTAACATTGTATTTGTTTGTAATGACTGAATATTAATACACATGGTTTAGGAGTGAACCTATCGAAAGCTTTTGCTTTGCAGGGTGAATTAAACAGATTTTTTTCCCACTCTTTCACTTCTCTATTTTGCATTTGTTAAATTAATAGTTTGTCATCTTGCTCTACCTATATTTAGAATTGGCTCTTCCGCCTCTGGTGCTACTTTTAAGTTTATGGTTATAGATCCTCATTTATTTGTATTTGTTAGAATGATCAAAGTACTCTGTTTTATTATTAGACTTATGTGATATATTAAAGTCTTTATTTCAGAACGATTACCTTCCTGGATACAGAGGCATTTGATGTCACATCTTCACAGCACTTTTCCTTAGGGACTATGTAATAGGCTTGCTTTTATTCCTCTATTAATTGGTTGTGTTAGTAAATTACACATCAGATTTTTTATTTATTTTTTATAATCTTTGTTCCACTCTTGTTAAAGTGGTCTGGGTGCCTATAGTGTCCCTTTATCTCAATGCCACCTCCCTGTCATTTTTACCCTGCAAGTGAAAACATGTGTTTTTTGCACTACATGTCTTATCTTTATCCAGCCTCAGCATCGTAGAAGTCTAATAAAAAAGCAATATACATTGCTAAGATTGGTCACCCCCACTTTTTGTGTATTTAATTTACTAGTTATACTCAAAGCAAAAACAGGAGTACCAAATACCTTGTCAACATGACAGTCCCAAATAAATTTAAAAAATATATATATATTATTTAGCAACTGTATATATTCTTTTTTTATCCTTCTCGGTTTTGCAGTGCTTTCACGTCTGTTGTACCAGCATCAGCAGTTTCCATGTCACCTTTATCTTAACGAGTCTTACTTGTCAAATTTACTATGTGTGTCTAAACGTAAAAATGTTGATTTAAAGGACCACTATAGGCAACCAGACCACTTCAGCTTAATGAAGTGGTCTGGGTGCCAGGTCCTTCTAGGGTTAACCCATTCTTTTATAAATATAGCAGTTTCAGAGAGACTGCTATGTTTATGAATGGGTTAAGCCTTCCCCCAAATCCTCTAGTGGCTGTCTCATTGACAGCCGCTAGAGGCGCTTGCGTGCTTCTCACTGTGATTTTCAAAATCACAGTGAGAGCACACAAGCGTCCATAGGAAAGCATTGATAATGCTTTCCTATGCGACCGGCTGAATGCGCGCGCAGCCAGCCGATGACAACGAGGAGGATCGGAGGAGTAGAGCTCCCCGCCCAGCGCTGGAAAAAGGTAAGGAGTATGTTTTCCTGGCACTATAGTGGTCCTTTAATTGCCTTAATTTAAACTCTGATCTTGATCTAACCTAAGGTAACATGAGAATCCTTTCACGTACTTGCAAGTCTTATTAAATAGTACTGCGTCCTTAGATCCTCCATTTGTTTTTTGTTTTCAGTGTCCTGTTCTACACCCTGCTTCAATCTCACTTCCACTCATGGTGCAGATTGATGGATAGTGCCAGGAATCCTCTCAAACCCCCCCACCTGTCTTTTAATAAAATTAGTTATTTTATGTCTGGGATAATTACATACTCATTGGTCTGCTATATTATATGTTGTGTGTTTGAGGTCAGATTGTGGTTTTGACATTATTACAAAATATTCTGGAATTTGTTCAAGCAGAACTTGACAAGGACCTTGGCCTCAATACCCTCAGAGGGCACCTGTCCGTTTTACTGTGACTAGACTGAGGACCCTGCAGAATTACACACCTTCCCTGGCTATGATTGACAGAGCCTGCATGAAAAAAAAAACTGGTTTCACTTTCAAACAGATGTAATTTACCTTAAATAATTGTATCTCAATCTCTAAATTGAACTTTAATCACATACAGGAGGCTCTTGCAGGGTCTAGCAAGCTATTAACATAGCAGGGGATAAGAAAATCTTAATTAAACAGAACTTGCAATAAAGAAAGCCTAAATAGGGCTCTCTTTACAGGAAGTGTTTATGGAAGGCTGTGCAAGTCACATGCAGGGAGGTGTGACTAGGGTTCATAAACAAAGGGATTTAACTCCTAAATGGCAGAGGATTGAGCAGTGAGGCTGCAGGGGGCATGTTCTATACACCAAAACTGCTTCATTAAGCTAAAGTTGTTCAGGTGACTATAGTGTCCCTTTAAGGAGTTATACATTGCAATACCACAATGTCCAGGAAAATATTACAGTAGGTTTGAGTAATGTATACCCAACTCTGTGCATGTGTTCATTTTACAATAAAATAAAAATAAATACCCTAAACACTACAAACATGGCTTTTTTGCTCTTTAATTTAGGTTCATGTGCATCATGCTAAACAGTTAACTCTTTCTGTACTTGTACGCATATAACATTGCAGATAATAGAATAGATCAAGTGTGGACTTTCTTCAAAACTACCGTTGCCTAAACAGTTGCCTGAGAGTGTGTTTGAGACATCACAGGATTGTCATAGTGTAGCACAGTTGTACGCTTTCTTACATGCCACCATTGTTTGTTTTTTCGTCACAGTAAACTTTGCAGTAGGATTTTTCTAGGCTTAAGGATAAAGGACTGTGCTTTCTCTGGAAGTGAACATTCCTCTTTAAATGACAACCATTTTCAAATATAAATCATTTTATTACACACACGCTTGTTGTATGTCCGGTAGAAATATATTGAATTTATGAAGCAGATAATTTGTTACAAATCAACCATACACTGCTCGACATGTAAATCCCCAGGTCCCTTCCTTAGAAGTTTGCTGCACTGCTTTCCCTGTAGACCTCGCAATTCCCTGAGCACTGCCTACTTACAGCTTTTATACTTAGAACCCTTTGGCTTTCTCCATTTTTAAAAATTGGAATTTGCTGTGAATCAGATTGGTTATCTGCAAGCAAACTAAACTGCACTACACTGATTGGGATTGTGATGATCAGGTATTTTTGTTGTAGAACATATTTTACTTTGAAGCAGTAATTTTTGTTATAGAGGTGTAGGAGAAGTGAATTTGCCAGTCTGTCATTTTAGTTTTAGAAAAAGTCTTGCTTTAACATTTGAAAAGCACTTTTTAAGAAAGACTTTTGATTAAATAATAACATAATTGCAAGTGTCTACTTTGTCATTCAAGAAACACTTTAAAATTTTGAATTCAAAGTGTCGCCTCAATGCTTTTTATATGTAATATTCTTTTTTTAAGGCACTGGACACCCTCACACAAAGCTTGAGGAAGTCCAGGGTCGTCTCACTGACTCAAACTCTGTGAAACTAGATGCGTTCTTAGCACTGCAATGTATACATTGCAGTTTTTTCAAAACTGTTTTACACTGCACTGGCCAAGGGGTCAGAGGCACTCCATCCAGATGACTTCAGTGTATATATATATATACACTGTAGGTCACAGACCAATTCATCTCATTGATGGAGCGTCTCTGTCTCCTTGTATGTATGTATGTATGTATGTATGTATATGTATATGTAAACCTAGCCTCCCTTGCTACCTTTAAACTACAAGTCACTGTAAAATGTGAAAACCTATAAAAGATCTAGAAGACTTTAAATAAAGTTGATTTGAGTCATGATTTAAATCCCTATTCAATAAGACTCTGTAAATCATATTTGTTTGTTTTTTAACACAAAGACTTATTCTTACTGGTTGTTATAATCTTTAATATATGCAACCAAGTGAAGACTTAATATTTAAAATAATTTGTTCAGATTTGGTTTAATAGTTATAATTTTTTTTTATGATTTTTTTTTTTAAATAGGAGTTAAAATATATTTTCTGCATTAATGTCCTCGTGATCTAGGTTAGGAGTTTTATTCTTTGCTGATATACCTTCTTTAAATTAATAATCATGTATTTCTTCCTAGCTGCTCTACCAATACTTTTTGTGCAGCTCTAAATAATGTACTGTCTGCCATGCCCCTAATTCCTAGCTGAAGCTCTCTCACCCACTCCTCTCACCCACTCCTCTCACCCACTCCTCTCACCCACTCCTCTCACCCACTCCTCTCACCCACTCCTCTCACCCACTCCTCTCACCCACTCCTCTCCACAAAAATCTGATTACATGTGTTTGACACTAATTGGAGGGATTGTTGGATCGTCTTTTCTGTTATAGTACAAAAGTTGTTGAAAGCTTAGATTGTGTTCTAAGTAGAATTCCATCTTTTATCCACTCAATGTTCCAGAAAATGTTTCATTATTTATACCTTATTTTATGCAGTCTCCGAACTGAAGGTAAATATAGAAAATTGGACTGGAAAAGGAACAGTCGTAGCAGCAGCATAATTAGTGTGTTGCAGTGGTTAAAAGGCCTTCCCTCCACATATTATAAGTAGTCAAACTGCTTTAGAACAGTTTTCACTTTTTACATAATCTGCACTGGACACTGCTCCCTGCCTCCATTACTGCTCGATTGCAAGCCAGAGGTTATCCATCTTAGCTATCAGGAGCCTACGGTTTTTGTTTCCGCATGGTCGTTTGGTTATTATCTGTAATATTTGCAAGCAGGTGAAGACCTTTTTGCAATAGAATGTATCTTGAATAGAAACTAGATAGCTTTTTTTTTTTTTTTTTTCAAAAGCATTTTATTAAAATTTTTTTTTTACAAATATCTGATTTTAAAGTGTTACCCCAAGCATCATCAATACTACAGCCAGCTTCAGATTGAAATCGTTGAAGTGGTCATGGTGCTTGGAGTTGCCCTTTACATTAAAAAAATAAAATAAAATTAGCCCTTCAAAGGATTTTTATCCACCCTGATAATTACAGTGTGCAGTAGTCTCTTATGGAGATTAAAGTGTTCCTTTAACATGTGTCAAATGCACCTGTACTCCACAACCAAATCATAGTTAAAAGCATTAATTAATCTTATTTAGATCCTATGGACAGCTTTCCAGTAAATGATTTTGGTTTATCAATTAGAACATAGTATGGTAGAACACATTGTGTCATGTAGATGCCAGTGTGTATTGAATCCTGTACTGATGTCTCTTGAGCCTTCCACAACGCCTTTATATATAATGTGGTCAGAATAAAACCCCCAGACATTATTATTTACTATTGAGTCAAGAATACCCTATTGTATTTTCCTGCATCAGAAAATGTACCACAAGTGCATCAGCAATATGATTTGATAGGGCTTGTAATATATATTTTTTTAAATATGTTGCAGAATAAAGCAACTTCGCACTTATGAACATTTAAATATTCCTAGCCTTGTGGCATTCATAGATCAGTTGTGCATTGTTAGGTTAGTTGATTTATTCTCTAGAAGACCTCTGTTTTTATATAGATATTTAATTGTATGATTTTTTTTTTTTTCATTTGAATCTCTTTTTGCAGTTATGAAGTGTAAGTACCTCCTGAAAGTGTTGATGAACCTAAGCCCATGCAATATTAAATTGTTATTGAGTAATGCATGGTGCAATATATGCACAAGGGATCAGACTGTGAACATAAACAGTGTGTGGAGGGCAGTACTGCCTTAAGGGCTTATTGTAATGGTCTTAAACGTGCTGGAACAATTTTATGTGCTGACAATAGTTACCTTCAGCAATAGCTGGCATTTTCTTCTGAGTGTATATAGGCTGCTTGGAATGTTTTTTAAAGGTGCTTTGCACATTTCCTCTGCTCCTGGGTTGTAGCAATGGCTATACTATTCATCATCAAAACAATATAAAATTACATGTGTGCTATTCCAAATCCCTAAGCATATTGTAAAATATGCAGTCTATTTAAAAAAAAAAAAAATCTTGCTTTTCGTAATATTTCTGCCTCGTCATTTTGCCTGTTGACTCTTATTTGGCATCTAATTTCATCCAGTACCTCTCATAGAGAAGCACATGCTCTATGAGAAGTATTGACACTGAAAATCAGAAAAGGGAAGAAAGTAACCAAATGCTGCTGTTGCTGCTGCTGTTGTTGTTGTTGTTGTTGCGCCAACAAATTCTGTAGCGCTTTACAGTGGGTGGACAAACAAACATGTAGTTGTAACCAGACAAGTTGAACACACAGGAACAGAGGGGCTGAGGGCCCTGCTCAGTGAACTTACATGGTAGAGGGAGTGGGGTAAAGTGACACAAAAGGTAAGGATAGTATTAGACTAATGATAGTTGCAAGAGAGGAATCAGTTGGGAGCTATTAACAGTTTAATTGATACGCTTTTATAAAGAAGTGGGTTTTTAAGTCAAGGTGAGAAAGGACGGTGAAATGGACAGGCACCTTAGTCGCATCTGGCGTGAAGTAGGGTCAGATGCGCACATTATTTTTGAGAAGGAAGCTTAACATTTAATACCACATTGTTTAAAAAAAAAAAAAAGTGTTCATAGTGAAGTGTCTCTCTGTGCTCAACTTCCAAAGAACTTACAAATACTCAGTGGGGAAACTGGTATCAATCTAAAACTTGCAGCATTATATAACAATACTACCTTTAATCAATACATTGTTGCACTTTCTCCAGCTGTCTATTAAATCCTATAGGCATAGGATAGAATTTTTAGATTCCATGTCAACAGAGCAAATGGCATAATACAATGAAAGCTAATTGGTGTACAATAGCCTTATGGCAAAGAAAAGTGTTTTCTTAACACTATATTGTCCCTCAGCCATAATGGCTGAGGGACAATATAGTGTTAAGAAAACACTTTTGTATTCCTAACACTTTAAGTAGCAACAGCAACGTCTGATTAGTATTGTAAATCATTTGCACATCACAAACATGATAAATGCTTATAAGTCAGGGCTTGCTTTCCAATTTGAAGTCCTATGATACTGGCCTGGCACTTAAAAAGTTACTCGCCATTGCAACTTATAGCATGCTCACCAAGGGTGAATTTCTGCTTACCAAAGATTAATTTGTATTCACCAGGGCTACATTTTCACGATCTGTTGAGGGATTAAAATTTAGACTCTCCACAAAAGTGATAACATAGGACCTCCTTGCTCTCTGATGTTAGTGAGCTCTAGTCGTTGTGGTGATGTACATTTCACAGTAACACTGCTTATTGTAAGATGCAATATGTCATATTGATGCAATTTATTTACTTTTTAATGTATTTATTTTTTGCCATCATTGGTAGTTAAAGCTTTAGATAAGCAGTTACTTGCAGTGCTTATTTAACACATTGATCATCCTCCTGAGAATCTAACCTCTCCAAAGACTGAAATCTATAACAGAACCTCTAAGCTATAATTAGTCCCTTGCAAATGCTTGCTTTAAAATGTGTTTATCATATGAAAGAACTCAGGGTTTGGGCAAAATTTGCATTTAATTTTGTACTTTGTAATAAACAACTGTCCAGGAATACCTTTTTTTATTGTTTTTTGGTTTGTTTAAAATAACAAAAAAAAGTTGTCAAGTGTTATAGTCTAGATCAGGCATAGGCAACCTTTGACACTGCAGATGTTTTGGACTATACCTCCCATGATGCTTTGCCAGCATTATGTGTGGAAGATCATTATGGGGGATGAAGTCCACAACCAAAAACTAAAAAAAAAAAAAAAAAAAAAAAAAAGTATCCTTGGTCTAGATACTAGTTTGGATGTGTTGGCTAAGAATCTGTCTGTTTTTTTACGTAGGTGATTGGGTAATGTCTTCACATTTTATGATGGGATAGTTCATGTTTTATTAAAATGGTCTACTAGAGGTGCTTACTGTATTTATGCATAGTGTAAATCTGTAAAATGACGCTAGACGTCCTCACGCTTTGCATGAGGACATCTTTACAAACCCCATAGGAAAGCATTAATTTGTGCCATCGCGGGAGGAAAAGCATGATCCACCACTGAGGGACATCAGAACTGTAATCTAGTAAGTAGAAAAAAGGTGTTTTTACCCCCCACCCCCCCCTTTTTTTTTCTTCTACTTACTGGATTCCAGTTCCGATGTCCCTCAGCGGTGGATCAGACTTCTACTCCCACGACTACATGAATCTGTGCTCTCCTGTGCGATTTTTCAAGACTGCATGGGCAGGATGGTGGTGCTAATGCAGAGCTATAATATTGTTAGGAATAGTTTTTTTTTTTAAATTTTATTACCAACGCTATAGTTATCCTTTAAAGTGGTACTGCAGCTGTATAGTTATACTGCATCTGTATAGTTATACTGCTGGACTGTTTGTGTCACACTATGGTCTTTTGATCTGATAGCAAACTCATAGAAAGGGTCTGCTCCTTTGAGTTGGTTATCCAAGAGGTTTGTTAAAGCGGCACTGTCATGCCGAACTTACCTTTCCTCAATCTCTTCTTCTCCCCCTCTCTCAGGATCTGTTCTTCTTTTCTTCCTGTCTTCTTTAGTTTTCTTTAAAATCATAAGACAAAGTAGGGACTCTTTGCCTTATGGAGGATTCCTCCGCTTGACCAGCTCTGACCAGCGGAGGAGCACAGTGTGCTTCATTTCCGCTGGTCATAGCTATTTTCCCATAATTCTCACCTTTCCTCTGTGTTCCCGCGATGCTTCCTGTCACTTTACACGAAACTGCCGAATTGAGTTCTAACTGAATGAGAACAGTTCGGTGCTTTATTCGGATCGCAATTTCATTCGAATGAATGAAACTCCGATCCTATTCTTGCTGTGGCTGCACCTTGTAGCTGCTTAGTAGATAACTCCCTAATTCCCACGGTATCAGGGAGTTATCTACTAAAAGGCTGAAAGACCTAAATTGGTCTTTCAGCCAACTTTACTAATACTAAGTAAAGGTTACTTAGTGTTAGTAAATAATATGCCCCTACTCGCTATACCGCGAGTAGGGACATGTCTGGTAAACAGTGAGCAGCCTGTGGCTGCTCACTGTAAAAAAAAAACAAAAAACAAAAAAACTATTGGCCCCCACCCCTAAACGACGGGTGGAGGCCCTAAAGTAAAATAAGGGGGGAGACCAAATGTCCCGCCCCCACCCCTGCGCGGTGGGTGGGGGTCATAATGATAATGGGGGACGACCTACTGTCTTACCCCCCCGGCACCCACCCCTGCGCGGTGGGTGGGGGCCATAATGATAATGGGGGACGACCTACTGTCCTGCCCCCACCCCTGAGCGGCGGGTAGGGGCCATAATGATAATGGGGGGGACCTACTGCCCCCACCCCTGGGCGGCGGGTGGGGGCCAAATGATGAGGGGGGGGACCTACTATCCACCACGCCTCCGGCCCCCACCACTGGGCGGCGGGTGGGGGCCAAATGATAATGGGGGGAGGGGGGGACCTACTGTCCACCCCCCTTCGGCCCCCACCCATGGGAGGCGGGTGGGGGCCATAAAGATAATGGGGGGGACCTACTGTCCACCCCACCCCTGGGCGGCGGGTGGTTGCCATAAAGATGAGTGGGGGGGACCTACTGTCCTCCTCCTCCCCGGCCCCCACCCCTGCGCGGTGGGTGGGGGCCCTAAGTCAATTCCCCCCACCCGCTCGGGATTTTTTTTATTTTAAATTTGACGGTTATGATGGTTTTTTTATTTGGCCTTTTTTGGAGATGAAAAATGAAGATTTGAGAAAAAAGAAGACGTCGAATGGTAAGTTTAATTTTATTTTACAGGTTAGTTATTTTATTCCCCCCTCACTATTTATTAGGGTGAGGGGGGTAGGTAGGGACTTTTTATTTGGGTGGGGGGGTGGGTGATTAGGGGCTTGGGGACCACTAGTCACCTTGAGTGGGGGGGGGGAATGACTTGGGGCCCCCACCTGCCGCCCAGGGGTGGGGGCGGGGGGGGAGGACAGTAGGTCCCGTCCCCCCCCCTCCTCATTATCTTTATGGCCCCCACCCGCCGCCCAGGTGTGTGGGCCGGATGGGGATGGACAGTAGGTCCCCCGCCCTCATTATCATTATGGCCCCCACTCGCCGCGCAGGGGTTGGGGCTGGGGGGGGAGGAGGACAGTAGGTCGCTCCCCCATTATCATTATGGCCCCCACCCGTCGTTTAGGGGTGGGGGCCAATAGTTTTTTTTTTGTTTGTTTGTTTTTTTACAGTGAGCAGCCACGGTATAGCAAGTAGGGGCATGTGGGAGATTTTAATCTCCCTTGTGCTGTTATGGGGGTCATATTGACCCCCATAGAGTGAGGGGGGGTCTTGGGGGCTTATGAAGTGGCAGGGAGCACTGCTCCCTGCCGCTTCTATAGTTACATATTACAAGGAGGGAGCTGTGTGCCGGTAGCTCCCTCCTTGTAATAAACTGCACGAACAAACGAACACTGATACATAGTGTTAGTTTGTTCGGCTGATCTTTCTATTCATTCATTCATTCTGTCTGTCTGATGAATGAATAGATTAAATTCCCGTTCGCATGTCCAGGTGTTTCACTGGTCATGTGCGGGAATCTCACAGTCTATCTAGTGTGGGCTGATGACGTGTCCCACAGGGACTTCACCTACCCACACAAAGATGGTGGCGCCCTGAATAAAGATCGGGGCAGAAAATAAAGAATAAAATAGGTAATGTGGGGGGCTTAGGGGCATCTGGGGGTGACTAGGGTGTTAATTAGATGTAGTGGAGGCCGGAGGGGGGTTAAAAAAAAACCAAAAAAACAGGATTCGGCATGACAGTGCCGCTTCAAATAATTGTTGGAAAATAAATATTATTAAGCCAATTAGTTTATTATTTTTTTTATTATCAATCTCAAGAATATAATGAACTCCCCTTTTTCAACTGGTGTAGCAATATTTACATACTACGGGTATTTGAACAGATGCATTGGAAATTCAAAGTTGTACAATAAATAGCCACTTTTTTTTAAATAGAAGAAAAGATTGCACCTTAGTCAAGGGATAAAACAGCATGAACTGTTATGTTATACATAAGCAGGGAGCCTCTGTGATAAAGTTACAAGTATGCAGTCTGCCCTGATCGTCAGCAGTTATTCTGGGCATTAAGTTTTTATATGTAATTGGCAGTGCCCTGTACCAGTTTTATACAATGCTAAACTCTCGGATTGTTATAGTAATGAGACAACTTAACTGCCTTACTGCTGCCACACCTGTGTGACCCACTGTGCCAGTGACTGCAAAACAGCATGCATCTCTATATTTGTACAACTAAGTTTGGCTTTTAAAGGGACACTATAGTCAAAAAATAACTTTAGCTTAATTAAGAAGTTTTTGTGTATAGATCATTCCCCTGCAGTATCATTGCTCAATTATCTGCCATTTAGGAGTTATATCACTTTGTTTATGCAGGCCTAGGCACTCCTCCCTGCATGTGACTTACACAGCCTTCCTAATCACTTCCTGTAAAGAGTCATCTAATGTTTATACTATCTTTATTGCAAATTCTATTTATTGTATAATTTCTTATATCCTGCTCTGTTAATAGCTCTTGCTAGACTCTACAGGAGCCTCCTGTATGTAATTAAAGTTTAATTTACAGAGCAGAAGATACAAACTTTTAAAGTAAGTTCCATCTGATTGAAAAAAATTTCATGCAGGCGGTCAGTCACAGCCAGGGGAGGTGTGGCTAGGGCCTCATAAACAGGAACAAAGTGATTTAACTCTTAAATGGCAAAGAATTTAGCAGTGAAACTGCAGGGGCATGATCTATACACTAAAACGGTTTCATTAAGCTAAATTTGTTTTGGTGACTATAGTATCCCTTTAATAATACCCTAACACATTTACTTGTCCTTTTGCAGCAGGAAAAAAAGTCTTTAGCGTTTAACAAAGTTTATACAGTACTTAATACTACTGCCCTTTTATTTTTATGAACTTAATATTCGGGAAAGGTGTCTAAAGTAAAAGGCGGAAACCAATGCCTAACTTTTGTTTTCTCTTCCCAGGCCTTTCTGAACCTCCACCTACTGACAACAGTTCTGTTCAAAATAGTTACGATACAATAGAAGGCGGTGGATACATGGGTAAGGTACCCTGCACCCCCTCCCCCAAATGTATTAGACATCAAAGAATGGTTTTATGTAGCGTTTTATTTTGTAAATTTTAAATGTAAAGTTTGTAATCAAATATTAAGTCATGGTATAGCTGTTTTGCAATACTGTTATTTAAATATTTGATCAAACCTCCATAATGGATACATTATTGTTCATGTGTGACAGTGCATTTTAACTTAAGAAAACATATTAATTTTAAAGGTTATTATGCTTACACTGTTAACTGCGAGAACACCTTTCAGTTCCATCTAAAGGAGGCGTGCAAGATCAGGTAAGTACCTGTTACTTACCTGAAGATCTTGGGTGTCTCCTTTAGATGGTCACTGAAAGGGTTCTCACAGTTAGTAGTGTAAGCATAATTTGGTTGTGCACAGTTGCATTGGCATCAGACTCCAATATAATCTTTGTTTTAACCTGATTAAAAATTAAATAAAAATCTCATGCAGAAGTGTACTGCTGAGTACACCAAATAATTTTTTTATTTTTTTTTACATATTGTAGGAAATCTATTGGTGTAATGCATGTATTAAATCGGCAGCATTGCAAAATGATTGTTTTTCTCTTTGCAAACTGTTTAAGGATTAGCTAGCTTAAAGGGACATTTTAAGCACTAACACAACTTTAGCTTTTTGAAGAAGTTGCGGTGTATAGATCATGGCCAATAAATCTTTCTGCTAAATTCTCTGCCATTTAGGAGTTAAATCATGTCGTTTGTGTAGGCCTAGACACAACTCTCCTGTCTGCGACTTAGTGTCCCTTCATACTTCCTGTAAAGATAAATCTAATTTTTTCTGCTTCCTTTATTGCTCAGTGTGTTTAATATATAATTTATCACGTGCTCTCTTCGTAGCGTGCTAGAGCACACAGGAGCCTTATGTGTGTGACTAAAGTTCAACTAACAGAGTCTCAGAAATATGTTTAAAAACGTGATTGAAAATGAAACTTATTTATTTATTGCCCATTTTGGCTCTGTAAATCACTGCTGGGGGGTGTGTGGTTAGGGCTGCATAAACAGAAACAAAGATGATTTGTCTCCTAAATGGCAGAGAATTGAGTAGTGAGACTGCAGGGGCATAATCTGTACACTAAAACTGATTCCTTAAAGGACCACTCTAGGCACCCAGACCACTTCAGCTTAATGAAGTGGTCTGGGTGCCAGGTCCTTCTAGGGTTAACCCATATTTTTATAAACATAGCAGTTTCAGAGAAACTGCTATGTTTGTGAATGGGTTAAGCCTTCCCCTATTTCCTCTAGTGGCTGTCTCATTGACAGCCACTGTCAATTTTTTCACAGTGAGAGCACGCCAGCGTCCATAGGAAAGCATTATGAATGCTTTCCTATGTGACCGGCTGAATGCATGCGCATTCAGCCGACGGAGAGGAGAAGAGTATGTTTTCCTGGCACTATAGTGATCCTTTAAGCGAAAGTTGTTCTGGTGCCTATAGTCTACCTTTAAAATATATTTGATATTTAACATGTCTGATGAGAGTTCTTTCTTTTATTATTATTTCTTCAAAATACAGGAATGGTTCATCCAACTCAGATTCCTCCACCTCAAAATCCTAAAATGACTAGGAATGTAGGTGGTACTTACCCATCATTACCACCTGGTTACCAGAATGTATTTCCAGCAGGAGGACCCGGGCTGACACCTGCTTCTCGGCAATATCCAACTAAGCCACAACAATTGCCTCAGGTGCATGTTTCAGTAGTAACTTATAATTTGTATTTATTTTTTTTGTTTTACATTAAGCTGTCACTGTGCTGCTATAGAGGTTTATGCAGATACATCTTGTGATGAATATCTGACAATAAATAGATTAAATTAAAACTACAACTGTTTTTAAAATCATCTTTAAAGGAACATTTATAGGGTCAGGAAGACAAACATGTATTCCTGACCCTATAGTGTTAAAACCATCAAGCCCCGTGGCCCCCTCTTGTCTCACTAAATATAGTAAAATCTTACTTTATTCAATTCTGAAGCTGCTGTCTCTGCCTCTGAACTGCCTCTGTTTGCTGGCATCATCAGAAGTGGTGGCACAAGCCAATCACAATGCTTCCCCATAGGATTGGCTGAGACTGTCAATGAGGTAGATCAGGGGCAGAGCCAGCACAAGTCAATTGCGAGAAGATGGAAAAATGATAGAGAAGTTCCTTGGGATCAAGTTAGAGCCCAGCTTAAGTTTCAAGTAAAAATGGAAGTGTTATTGAGCAAACAAAAATTAAGTAGGAAAACAACAATGTGGACGAAATGTTGGGAGAAGATTGATAAATAGAGGGTTTTTTTTTTTTTACATAAATTTAAAGTGAACACTGAGGCTGACTGTTAATGCTTTGGACAATATAATATATATTATGAGACAAAACATATATCTTTTCTCGATGAGTTTCTTCCCTTCTCTCTTGCTGCACTGTCTTGTTTATGTAGATGTGTAAGTCTAAAGTATTGTTTGTTTTTGGCTAATTGAAATGTATAAGGAAACATCTTATGGATGAATATCTTAAATAGGAAATTGTTTCTTTACCATTTGTATGTAATTGTTGTATTGTATTGTCTTTTTTTTATGGATAAAAAAAAAAAAGGGGGGGGGGAACCCTTTAAATAAAGATTATAATAAAAACATCAAGCCCCGTGGCCCCCTCTTGTCTCACTAAATATAGTAAAATCTTACTTTATTCAATTCTGAAGCTGCTGTCTCTGAACTGCCTCTGTTTGCTGGCATCATCAGAAGTGGTGGCACAAGCCAATCACAATGCTTCCCCATAGGATTGGCCGAGACTGTCAATGAGGTAGATCAGGGGCAGAGCCAGCACAAGTCAAACACAGCCCTGGCCAATCAGCATCTCCTCGTAGAGATGAAGTGAATCAATGCATCTCTATGAGTAACATTCAGTGCCTGCATGCAGAGGGTGGAGACACTGAATGGCAGTGCTGCTTATTCTGTAGCACTGCCCAAGGAACCACCTCTAGTAGCCAACTGAAAACCCAGTGTTTACAACAAAAAGCCTGTAGGGCAGGATTCTACTCACCGGAACAAGTGCATTAAGCTGTAGTTTTTCTGGTGATTATAATGTCCCTTTAAAAGTCCTGCAACAGTTTTTGTTACTAGAGTACATATTGTTCATATACATTGTGATTTTAGAGGAATCGGTAGACATATCGAAAGTAGTGTTGTTCAAAATTGAACTCAGACCACCTACATGTCAGGGTTTGATGAGCTCTTTTCTGAAAAATTAGTATCTAATAAAATGAGTAAGCCATTGGTATACTTATCTTTGCTAAAGACAGGGCCACTGTAAAACTATGCCTCTTTAGGCTCTGTGAAAAAGCTGAAACGAAGGAAGATATTTCTGTGAAAGTTTAGTTAATAATATGGTGATCATTTTCCATTCCTGCATTATGAAAACTTATCATGTTTGAAAATAGATACATATAGATTTTGGAGTACAAATGTTTTCATGTTAATTTTGAAACCCATGGTGATTTCTTTTGGATTGGTTTAGTTTTACCTTTTTGGGGGGCTTCTTAAACCACTGTGGTACTGAATTAATAGTCTAATTCCTGCTTGATTTCAAATTAGCCTTCCATGGGAGTCAATGATTTGACATCATCAGTTGGCGGACTAAGCCTTCATCATTCTCAACAGCTGGATGATCTAAGAGCTGTGAATCTTCTACAGGAGAGAAATATATTGCCACAGACCCCTGTGCAAGCACCTACGCCTTGTCTCCAGGAGGACATTCAGAAGCTCAACTGCAGCCCAGAGTGAGATATTGAATGCACATTTTGGAAAATATTTCGGCTTAAAGGAACACGAAATAGCTATATCATGATACTACCTATTTAGATATCAGTGTGGCTGCTCTGCCAATAATCAGTCCTCATGGTCACGTCTACTCCATTGCTTCCTATTTGGGAGGTTAGTGTGCATGTGCAGCAAATTACTGCACTGCACCAGTCAGCATCTCCTCATTGGCATGCATTGCCTCAATGCACTCTGTGGGGCACATTTAGTGTCTCTCAGTATGTCTGTCTTTGGGCAGCAGTGTTAACACTGCTTTTTCAAGAAATATGCAGTGTTTACACTGTTGAGGCTTTTAGGGACAGGCCAATTGCCTCAGAACAACTGCATTAAGCTGTAGTGCTTCTGATGCCTTTTAATGAAAAATATTAGGCCCCAAGTCTATGGGGTCTATTCACTAAAAGCCTATTTTGAGTTTACAATTTCAGGTGACTTAATTTGTCTCAATTCACTAATAACTGAATACTACAAAAGTGAGCCATAAAAATTCCTACTGAATTTCCCATTTTAGTGAATAGGATGAGAGTGAAAGTATACTCACACAGCTGTAATTCATATTTTTGTGCCAATGTAACAAAACCCTTTAATGTGTACTTTTCTTAAAGGACCACTCTAGGCACCCAGACCACTTCAGCTTAATGAAGTGGTCTGGGTGCCAGGTCCTTCTAGGGTTAACCCATTTTTTCATAATTATAGCAGTTTCAGAGAAACTGCTATAATTATGAATGGGTTAAGCCTTCCCCCAAAGCCTCTAGTGGCTGTCTCATTGACAGCCACTAGAGGCGCTTGCGTGCTTCTCACTGTGATTTTCACAGTGAGAGCACGCCAGCGTCCATAGGAAAGCATTGTAAATGCTTTCCTATGAGACCGGCTGAATGCGCGCGCAGCTCTTGCCGCGCGTGCGCATTCAGCCGGCGGGGCGTAACGGAGGCGGAGAGGAGGAGGAGAGCTCTCCGCCCAGCGCTGGAAAAAGGTAAGTTTTTACCCCTTTCCCCTTCCAGAGCCGGGCGGGAGGGGGACCCTGAGGGTGGGGGCACCCTCAGGGTACTATAGTGCCAGGAAAACAAGTATGTTTTCCTGGCACTATAGTGGTCCTTTAACAAATTAGCTACCGCAATAAACAGATAATGTGAAACAGGGTATTACTCTGGCACCAGTAGCAGATTCTTTTATTTAATCTTAAGATAAACATTCCCTTATGATCTTTATCGTGGGAAACTAGAACTTTGTTCAATGGTGAACATATAAAATGTGTCTTCAGGAACAAAATCTGCTTGTTAAAACTTGTCTTTCCTTCATTAAAGATTATTTCGCTGCACGTTGACCAACATCCCTCAGACTCAAGCTTTGTTGAATAAAGCCAAACTTCCCTTGGGGCTTCTTCTCCATCCTTTCAAAGATCTGTCGGTATGAGGACAATTTATATTTTCAAAATTATACTGTTTTTGTAATGTGAAATATACAGTTTACTTTGTTAAACCCTTAAGGACCAAGACAATTGTTTGTTTTATATTAAGAGCACCCACACTTATTTATCATTTTGTTCAGGAGCACATCAAATATTTATATATAAAACATAATTTAAAATGAATACAATCTAAGAAGTTTAAGAAAATTTTATTTTCCAAGTTCTGTTTTTAACTGTCAATGTCAGTAAGCTTTTTCTGCAATCAAGCACACATTTGTATGCTATTCTCTCTCACGAGAACAGCAATGTCCCCATATACAGGTTTTATGGTGTTTTGGAAAGTTACAGGGTCAAATATAAAGCTTGCCCACCTCGGTTTTTACATTTGGCAGATTGGTTTCATGGGCCTATGTTGCCTGTGACGCTATATGGCAGACCAGGAATAAAAATTGCCCCATCATGGCAATCCATTTGCAAAAGTAGACAACCCAGGGTATTCTAAATGGGGTATGCCCAGACTTTGTTAGTAGTCACTTAGTTGCAAAACATGGTCAAATTTAATGTTCTGATTTGTTGTTGTTTTTTTGGGGGAGGGTGAGTGGGAGGTGGGGTTAGGTTGCAAGTCACTTATGCACTAACCACTTTAAATCTCGTTCTAATGAAAAGTCCGAACGGTGTCAACAGGTTAAATTTGTATTTTGGCATCCCTGTAAACTATATAAAAGTAAAATTGCCTACATTTTACTACTTAATCCCTTAAGGACACAACTTTTGAAATAAAAGGGAATCATGACAGAATATTTCTATCATGTGTGCTTAAGGGGTTAATATTGTAATCTTAAACAATAAATCTTAAATCTTTCATTTAAAAAGCTTGGTGGAGACTTCAATAATAAACATAACAATTTATCTCTCTGCCATAAGAAAAGGGGCCAATGTGTTTAATGTCTTTCTTTACAAAGCCTTTGTGTACATAAAACTATTAAAGGGGGTACATTGTTACAGCTATATGCCAAGAAAATGTTAGTGGTTTTAAAATTGATATGTCACAAAGTGACTTTTCATTACTCTAGTTTAAGCACAAAATACTAATGTAAACACTTGATTACAAGTACTAGGTGTAATGTTATACCTGTGAAAAGAAGTTTGTTTTCTAATGTAACCTATGGATATTTTTTCCCTTTTATCGTAATTGTGATTGTTTTTTCCCAGCAACTTCCTGTTGTCACTTCAAGTACAATAGTCAGATGTCGGACCTGTCGGACTTACATAAATCCCTTTGTCACATTTTTGGACCAAAGGCGATGGAAGTGCAACATATGCTACAGAGTAAACGACGGTAAGTTTGGATAAATTTATATTGTTAAATATAGTAATTCCGTCTTTTAGGTTTATTAGAGCTTCTGTAGACAGCAATAATGTAAATTTAAATTGGCGTATAATGGTTATGTTCTGCAAGATTTGTTTGCAAAATCAGTACTGGGATTTGCTTTGTGGGGGTTTAAGGAAAAGAGATGAGATATTTTAGTTTAAATGTTTTTCACATAGGATTACCAACATGTGCGATATGTCATACTCCATTTCTGTCTTTGCTTTTTGGTTGTGATATTTTAGTCCCTGAAGAGTTTATGTACAATCCTGTAACCAGAGTTTATGGAGAGCCTCATAAAAGGCCAGAAGTCCAGAATGCCACAATTGAGTTTATGGCACCTTCAGAATACATGGTAAGCAGACTTTTAGTGACATTGCTCTTAGATATATACTAATTTTGTGAAAATATGACCAAGTAATCTTTTCAGTACTAATACTGTACTGCTCCTGCAAATGAAACCTTCTGTCTGCTGCCAGGTTGATTACAACTCTAGTTAAAGGGCTTTGCATCAGTACATGCAACTGAAGAGAAGAGAAATGCATAAGGAGCACAGAGCCAACAGTGCTCATGTTTAAGATGCAAATATAACTTTTGCATATGGTTTAATTTCCACAGGCTACCTTGCGTATTGTAGGTGATATAGCCACATATAGACATAATATAAACTGTATGTTGGCTTTTTAGTATCTCTATTCGCAAACAAAACTACATAGTTTACTGTTTTGTTTTGGTTTTTTTTAAGGATTCCTTGTATGATTTATTTTAAATTCCCTACACCCCCTCTCCCCCCCCTCGAGTTTATATAAATGTTTATTTTAAATAACTTCACCTAGTCTACTGAATATTTATATAATTTTTGTCTTTTAATTATATTTCTTTTTTGTAGTTGCGTCCCCCACAGCCTCCAGTGTATCTGTTCATGTTTGATGTATCTCACAATGCAATAGAGACTGGCTACCTGGACACAGTTTGCAAGACTTTGCTAGACAATCTTGACTGGTAGGTATTTTAAAAAAGGATTGCGTGCTTAATGTATAATCTAGACCATAAAAAGCCAAACCATGCAATAGAATTTTAAAAATGGCACTATACATCAATGCAGTTTTATGTTCATACTGTAGTAGCATAGCATAGAACTCCTGGGACATTTGTTTATTATTGAAAAAAAAATCTTAAAGGAACATTAGTGTTAGGAATACAAACATGTATTCCTAACACTATAGAACCCTTCTATGTACTTGGGTTACCCCCTCCATAGAGGAGGTGATTTTACTTACTTTTTCTGACTTGCAGCTCTGGTCTCTGCATTGGCATCCTCCCTTGTTGGCTGAGATCATCAAAACAGATGATCTCAGCCAATCCAATGCTTTTACATATTAAAGCATAGGGGAGGCTAGTGTACATGCACCAATCAGATGGTTTCTTTGAGACTATCTGAGAGAAACTGCCAATGTTCTGATCCTTTTACTGGATTGATTAAATAAAAATGTGTCCTCAAGTATAGAACCCAGTGCTGTTTCTTCACTTGTTGACTTTTATGCTTGAATTTTAGGCATTTTGTAAAATTGAAAAATAAGGAAATACTTTATACAGTCTAAAGCTGTTCATTCCTTATAAATGTCTAATGAAGGGGTTAAGAGTATTGAAGCAGCTGAAATTAAAGCAAAGTGGTGTTCTAAGTTGCAATGCCTGGCCTTTAACCTATACATACTACAAGCTTCTGTTGCCGTCTTACATTTTGAAAGATGTAGACATATTCTGTTGGATGAAGTCATGAACTCTTTCATGACAAGCGGATGGCAAATCCTGGCAGTCCTAGCAAAGTACATGCCTTCAATAATTAAGTGACTGCTTCACTCCACAAGTATGTTCTTTAAAGGTCCCTAAACATTTCCCAATCCCTCTTTTGCCACTGTCCATTGAGGAACCACAGTCTACACAGAATCCTTTGAGTGCCACTGGAGGTTTGGAATTCTCAAGATCCAATGTTAACACAGCGGACATAAGCAAGCACAGGCATTGCACACAGATAATGGAACTATAACAACAACTCTCATTTATCTGACCAAGCATTTTGTCTTGCTCCACTCTTATAACATGTTTATGACATCTTGCTAATAACTGCATTTTTAAAAGAAATTTAAGCTAATTAGAAAATTTAGTTTTTGGTTTGTTTGTGGTAAGATTTCTGCTTGATAATTTACCTTCCAAATTACATCCCACAGGCTTCCTGGAAACACGAGGACAAAGATTGGCTTCATCACATTTGATAGCACAATCCATTTCTACAGTCTGCAAGAAGGATTGTCACAGCCTCAGATGTTAGTGGTATCAGATATTGATGGTAAGTATCTCTTTAATTCATTTTAGAAAAATAAATTGATTACTTTTTTCCTTTAAAATTGAAACTACCTGGACAGTGAGAAAAACTCACATTTTTTTATTTTAAATAAGTTATTTCATTCTGAATGTATTTCCTTCACTGCTAATCGAAACACATTTTTGTCTTATTGCAGATGTTTTCATCCCTATGCCTGAAAATCTGCTGGTAAATTTGAATGAGAGCAAAGAGGTAAGACATTTTGAATGGTAAAGGAATACTATGGGGTCATAAACACAAACATGTTTTCATGATACTATAATGTTAAAAACCCATGATAGCACATTTGCCCCCCAATCCTGTTGACTCCTTTCATGACAAGCAAAAAGCCAGCAGGGACTGACTGTGCTCACCCGAACAACTACATTAAGCTGCAGTTGTTCTGGTTACAATGTGTCTTCAGGCAACAGGATATGCAGTGTAGTGCTAGTTTAATTAGGAGGAGCTATCATGTTAACTGTGTACTATGCCAATTATTAAAGGGGTCATAATCTTGCTGTTAAACTTTAAAATTATCTCTCTCCTTAGCTGGCAGTAATTGGAGATTGCCTCTTGTTTGGTTTTATTTGCTAGTGCAAGATAGCATTGAGCTGAAGTGAGAGATGCTAAGCAGGTTACTTTTCTGCTTTAGTCTTTAAGCAGATTGGTATCAAGTCAGAAGTGTACAATAAACATTTTGTGCCAAACTTTGTAACTGGCTGAGAAATTTAGTTGGCTCAGAAATAGTTATTCTGTTTTTAATTCTATTTTTTTTAAATAAAATTAACCATATTTTTTTGATTGTTTGTTTTTTAAACAGCTTGTTCAAGACTTGCTAAAGAACCTGCCACAGATGTTCACAAAGTCAGCAGAAACACAAAGTGCTTTGGGACCTGCATTGCAAGCAGCATACAAACTAACTTCACCCACAGGTGGACGCATATCTGTCTTCCAAACACAAATTCCATCTTTGGGAACAGGAGCATTGAAACCAAGGGAAGAACCAAACCAAAAATCTACTGCAAAGGTATTATTAAAAATAGCATAACTTTGCAGACCATGGGGCTTCTTCCTCTGCTCAGCTAAACCAAATTGCCCCCTTTTGTTTTCAAGTCCCTTTGGGTTCTGGGTGAATATTTCCACTTATAACACTAGTTTTCCAACACTTGTATGTTCTTTGTTCGACCTACTTTGATGTTTTCTTTCTAAATGCTTTAAATGTAACTCTTTGTACATGGACTGTAAGCTCATTTGAGCAGGGTGCTCTTTAGCCTATCATTCCTGTAAGTTTTTTTGTAATTGTCCTATTTATCGTTAAATCCCCCCTCTTACTGTATTGTGAAGCACTACGGAATATGTTGAGGCTATATAAATGCCAAAAATAATGATAATATACAGACTAAGCTTAAACTTCTCCCCCATTCATGGATCTGGGAGCTTATATAATTATAAAACCATTACAGCTGGGTCACCATATGTATTAATTTAAATTGCCTATTACAGTCCTCTGAATATACAAGCACTTTGCACAGAGGGTTACATTTGAAAATTTCCTTAGAAATTGTTACCACATTACAAATGTTTTTAATGCTTGCCAGCAATCTGTGCTTTTGTTACTATATATATGGTTTTTTATATGTCACATCTTCTCTCCTTTCTTTTTTAAAATAAGATTGATCATTAATATCTGGGATCTGTGTGTGTGTGTATGTATATATGTATGTATGTATGTGTGTGTGTGTGTGTGTGTGTGTATATATATCTTGCATGTATATGTGTATGTATATATTTATTATTTTTTTTTTATTAACTAAAATTATGGAAAACCTTTGTACTTGCCAGATTAAAATTATGGAAAACCTTTGTACTTGCCAGATTGCAGACCTGGTTGTAACACTCTTTCTTACCACATATCCAAGCCCTTTTTACTCACTGTGGGGCAATCTGGACTTTCTGGCCGGCTCTAGGGACCATCCTGCTTGCACCCTTCCAGACTGGCCTTGTCCAAGAGCCAAGCATGTCTTGATGGCATCCACACAAGATGGATTCATTGTGGACTTTTCTGCCAGATCAATCTGAGTCCTTCTTGCACTCCCTCATACACAAGCATGTCCAAAATATGTAACTGCCATTCCAGCTCAGCAATGCATGTTGCTCTCTTTAACACCCTCTGAGACAATGCGCAAAGTCATTGCCCCACCACTAAAATGTATCTCTCTCATTTACTCAATGTTGATACTCCCTACTGTGGTGGGAGTAAGTGCTGGGAATGACACTGAATGACGCTCTTGGTTATCAATTATTAATTGTATATTTTTTTTTTTATTATATATTTCTTGCTTAATTTTCTTTTCTTATTGATGGTCAAGTGTGATGTCGGTTCTGAAATATTGTGTTGCTCCTGCTGAAACTCCTGAATTTGCTGATTCTCCTGTTCTACACTTGAGTTTATGTAACCTATGATATTGGGGATGTCAGTGAGTTTCTGATTTTTAGCAAGTTTAATCTAAATTTAAAAAAATTTCAGGAAATTCATAATCTGACACCGGCAACTGATTTCTACAAGAAACTGGCTTTGGATTGTTCAGGGCAGCAGATTGCTGTTGACCTTTTCCTCTTGAGCGGTCGATACTCTGATTTGGCTTCACTCGGTAAGTTAAAGAGTAGAAGTGTTCTCTGTTGGATGCTAAAAATGTTCCTTCTTAGGTTTGCGTTATGGTATTTCTAACCTTTTTCTTATTTTAGGTTGCATTTCTAGATATTCAGCTGGGAGCGTGTTTTATTATCGTGCCTACCACCATCAACGCAATCCTGTACAAGTAGAAAAACTTCAGAAAGAGCTTAAACGTTACCTTACACGGAAGATTGGTTTTGAGGCGGTCATGAGGATAAGGTGCACTAAAGGTTCGCATTATTTTCTCAGTTGTTTAAAAATAAACCAATAGTCTATTATCTAATTGTCAAGCATAGGATAAGCAGTTCATGAAAAGCCACTACTGATAGACCTGAATGTTTTTAGGTAAAACTATAAGCACATGGTGTTCTTGTATTGGTTGATTTTGTTCTATAGATCCAAATTTAAGTTAATTAATTTTGTTTATAATTGCTACCATGTCAGATAATGTGTACCCCCTGACGTTCTCTTCTCCCTTTTCAGGCCTTTCCATCCATACTTTCCATGGGAACTTCTTTGTCCGATCCACAGATTTGCTGTCTCTCCCAAATGTCAACCCTGATGCAGGATATGCCGTACAAATGTCAGTGGAGGAAAATCTGACCGACACGCCTGTGGTGTCTTTCCAGTCTGCTCTCTTATACACCTCCAGCAAAGGTTTTAAAACCTCTTTCTAATACAAAAGCAATCATTAGTGGATTGAGACCAAATAACCAACCAATGTAAAAAAAAAAAAAAAATATGATATACCCTAAAATGCTTATATACTAGTGGATCAATGTTCCACGCTGGATTAATGCTTAAATCTCACCCTTAAAATATTGCTATAAGACTATTCTATTAATAGTCTCCCAAAGTCTGAAAATAAGGGAGGAATGTACAGAAGTGCAAATAATGAAAATGGAAGATACAATTAGCCATTTTAAATACAAATGCCCTGTATCAATGTACAATGCAATTCATAATAAATACCTTGGGAGAGAACAAAGTGACTGTTAGAAAAAGAGTTGAAAGAAATGTAGGGGATCAACAAATCGTATCTTTGTCTAGGGCAACCAAATCCTTGCTACGCTACTAATATTGTGACTTTGTATATACTGAGCCATTACCCAATTCCAAATGTTCCTTTTCAGGTGAGAGAAGGATTCGTGTGCATACCATGTGCCTACCTGTTGTTCCAGTGCTATCAGATATCTATGCAGGGGCTGATGTACAAGCCATAACAGGACTTTTGGCAAATATGGGTATGCATTAAGAAAGTAAACCTGCATTGTGTACATATTTCATTTATCACAAATAATGATCATGTTTATTCGAATACAAGCATGTCTGTACAATATTTACTACAGACTAAACAATGTATGTACTGCTAATTTGAGCTAAATCAAGTTTGAGCTACGTGTTTTTTTTGTTTTTGTTTTTTTTATCATGCTTTTTTTGTGCTGTAAATTCCTTGTAATCCATGTAATTTGATCTGATTTGATGGGTCTTCCCAAATATAAGTAGTTTGTTATTCTAACAGGGCATTTTCTTTAGATTTCTAATACATTTTCTTTTCGTTAATATATTCAATCAATAACATGAGATACAGATCTCAGCAAATGTAACTGTATATTTCTTGTAGCATTATTAAATGGTTTAAAATATGCTGAGGATAATTGAGGCTTACGGTGTATGTAATGGTTAAAACTTCTGTTTAAACTTCAGAATACTTCCATTTTAGGAAACTAACTGAATATTGCAGAGCGCGTTTTGTCGTGCCTGCCCGATAGCCTACCAGTGCTTGTCTATGGGAAAGCATTGGATTTGCTGAGATTATAAAGTTTGATTTCAAACAAGGGGGTGGAGCTTGGGCCGGGTCACGTTAAGTTCGCCACAGTGAGTAAATCATCTTTTTAACCAGAGGTTTGGGGGTTGGAGGCAGGAGCCTAAACCGCTTTTTAGACCTGTAGTGTCAAGAATACATGTTTATATTCCTGACAGTATAGTGTTCTTTTAACCCTATTATATGCGTGTTTTGGTTTATACCTGATTTCAGCAGACTGAGTAGTGGGAGTTCTAAAACTTTTATTTAGTTGTGGATGAGAGTTGTGCAAAGCAACAGACCCCTTTTTCTTTCTGTTCCACCATCTGGTCCTTCATTGCTCAAAATAAAACTACAAACTGAAAATGAAACTAAATAAAAATGCAAGGAAGGAAGGGGAAGGAGAATTACTTTAATTCAAACTAGGTTAGTGACAGTCAAGGGTATCCAAGAACCCTATTTATTACTAAAAGAAACACTGGTGTTAAGAATAAAAAGATGTATTAGTCCTGCTACCTGTCTAGTGGTCATGTGCAACAAAACGTTGCGCTGCACCAATCAAATGCTGTTCTGTTACATAGTTTAACTTGGTTATAGCAGGGGAAGCATCTGAGGAAGACAGAACAGCAATGTATTTTACATTGCAAGCCTATAAAGACAGGGGCACCAAGACAGCTTCATTGTCAGTCTTTGTTGTCCCTTTAGGGTTAATATGACTTGGCATAGGCTGTTGGAAAGAGATTTACTTAAAGGGAGCATTGGCACTTCATTTCAGAGCAAAAACAATACAAGATTTTACTAAAGCAAGGAGCGGTTAAATGCGTTAAAGTTGTGTTTGTTGCCAGAGTTTCTTTAATAATTCTTAAAGTCTCTTGGACCTAATTCAAAGATATGTGGAGTAGTAAATGTGTTTTTTTTTTTAATTTTTTTTTTTATAGCTGTTGATCGATCCATTTCTTCAAGCTTGAGTGATGCGCGTGATGCTTTAGTAAATGCTGCAATCGATTCCCTTGGTGCATATCGAAGCTCAGTGTTAACTGTTCAGCAGCCTGGCCTTTTGGCCCCTCGCTGTTTGCGTCTCTTTCCAATGTTTGTTTTGGCTCTTTTGAAACAGGTTAGTGGGATCTGTATTTCTCTTGTTACATAGTCTTGTAAGTACATTTCTAAAATATATTGATATTTACATGAAAATTGAAGTGTGCATGTTATATACAAATGTTATATATATATGCATGTTCTATATTGGTCTCCAATTCTTGGTAACTGTTTATTTCTTTACTTTAGAAAGCATTCCAGACTGGGACAAATGCAAGTTTGGATGAGCGAACGTTTGCCATGTGTCAGATTAAGAGCCAGCCATTGGCATACATCATGCTCATGATCCACCCAAATTTATACAGAGTCGATAATCTGACAGATGAGGTTTGTCATTTTTTTTAATATATATCTGTTGTGTTTGAATTGTGTCTGATTTCAACAGACATGGAAAAAAAGTCAAAGAAAAATCCTTGAGAGAACATAGATGGAAAAAAAAGTTTGCGTTTGTAAAAACCTACTATCTAATACATTTATTAGAAATGTCTTGTTTAGCTTAAATAAAGATGAAAATATTTCAGTGTAGTTTTTCTTTCACACTTGCTATTTCCTTTTTAGTATTTCTTCATAAAGGTGAAAATAAAAGTGAAGAGTGAGACATTTTAAGAAAAACTAAATGTTTAATTTAGCTTTTAAAAATATTAGTAGTGCATATTTTCTGTCATCACCTTACAGCTAATATTTACTTAAATGTTTTTCTTACCCAGGGAGCTCTTAATATCAACGATAGGACAATACCCCAACCACCCATTCTCCAGCTCTCTGTAGAGAAACTAAATAGAGATGGTGCTTACCTGATGGATGCTGGCACTGTAAGTACATGTATAATAACGGTACAGTTGAGTCAAAATTTGGGGGCATGAGGAGGCTGGAGAACCACACATAACTGAAAGGCCTGCCCAATAATGCAGTCTGACCAAGATTATAGTAAATAGGTTTATAAACATTTATTACATACTTTGGCAGGCAGATTGAAAAATAACATGTAAGATCTAAATTAATGTTGTGTTATTTCTCCAGCCAAGTTCCTGTACGTTGTGTTTCTGTTTTCAGTACACTTTTAATTTGGGAAAGGTAAAATGGAGCATATATTACAGAGGAGTTTACCATGAAGGATTTAATGAGTGTATTGGAGCTGTGATTCGCCAACTATAATAAGAGAAGCTTCAGGAGGCTGATCATAGTTTCAATGGTGGGGACTTAGGAAAGACTGAGTCAAGATGAAGAAGGGGGGATAATGACAGAAAGATTAACACTTCATGAAAATAAAAGCTTTTTTTTAAAGTCCCCATGTGGGTGCAATTGTGTAATTTATATGGTTACAATTTCCAGATAAATTTATTTTACATTACTTTAATGAACATGAATCAAGTTTTAGATATAGTGAGGGAAATGACAAATAACTGCTCACAATTCAAAATTTAAAGTGGAGAAATTAGTCCGTCACTGTTGAAAGCAGTGTCCATGTATTCACTGTCTGTAAAAAAAAAATATAATGTAATTTAATGTATTATTTAGGCTTTGTTGTTGTGGGTTGGACGCAACTGCAGCCAGAACTTCTTCACGCAAGTTCTTGGAGTCTCTAATTATGGCTCAATGGCCCAAGAAATGGTGAGAATTTTCTTCTTTTTTTTTTTGCAGCCAAGTACAAGGTTTGCTATTACAGTAGAATGGTCAGTTCCCAGGATTTTGTATCATTCCCTTCTCCATTTTCCAAATTTCCTGATTAAACAAATACCCCTGTATCTTCTATTTGGCCGTTATAAGTTTTATAACAAATATTTTTTTCAGTCACTGCCATCATGTAATTCACATCTAGTCAAAATGAATAAACAAAATATTTAGCAAATGTGTTTTTCTGAATAAATGTTTGTGAAACTCACACTGCTGTATTTAGCTCTATCCAGTAACTGATGCCTCAAGTTGGGCTCCCTGTCAGGCATTGTTATTTTGCCCTTTTATTTTGTCATCTTGTCATTTGCATTGTTTGCCATGGCTTGTTTAAAGGGGTCCTTTTTAAGAAAGTGAAAATGTTAATGCTGGCAATTTTCAGTAAGTTGTTTTGAAAGTTGGCAGCAAGCTAGTTGCTGTAAAAATTTTAATGTGCCTTTTCTTCCTGTGATAGAACCAGCTGCCTGAACTTGATACAGCTGAATCTTCCAGAGCTGTAGCTTTTATCTCTTGGCTTCGAGAGCAGAGACCTTTTTTCCCGACATTACATGTAATCCGGTAAGTGAAGTCCTTTCTGGATTGGCACTACATTTGTGTTAATTTTATAGTTATTTTTTTTACACATAATCACTGGGTACATTGCAAGTGTCTGGTTTACATTATTGGATTTTTTTCAAATGCAGATTTGACCTACATAACATATTCCCTGTAGTAGTAATAACAATACCATCTAAAAAATATAATCTGAGATTTTAGCTCATATTTTATATCATGCCCTCTGCCTGGTCAAAATAACTCTGTTGCCTTGTTGGGCAGTATAAGTTTTCTGGAGGGGGCCCTCCATCTTTTGTTACCTTTTGCCCTTGGACTTCCCCACTCTTCCCTTGGTGGTGAAAGAAATGAGTGACCTCTGGGGAAAGGTGTGGGAACATGTACAATAATGTATTGATTCATTATGTATAAGGTCTCATCTAAAACTTGATTTATGTGCAATACAGTTCGAGAATGTTGACATGATACATATATATCTAATCTCTCTAGAGATTTGAGTAGTGGTTTCTATACAGGACGACATAACTGGAGGTTGTAGTAAATGCACGATGTAGTCATCAAGCAGTGGAAGCAGAGCCAAATTCAGTTGAAGAGCTAAAAAAAGGTTTGATATGATACACACAAGTATCCTAAATTTAGGAGGGAAAATTCCTGTACTTAAATTGACAGATTTTATGGGCCAACTGACTTTTGTCTGCCATTTAAATCTGTTTCTATGCAAGTCTATCACATTTATAATGCTGGATTTCATAACAAATTGTTTGTTTGTTATTGTAATAAACTATGTTTTGTACTTGGATGTGCATTTCACAAATTAAGCTTTTTTATTTATTTATTTTTATGCAGGGATGAAAGCCCACTGAAAACTACATTTCTCCAGAACATGATAGAAGACCGAACAGAATCTGCCTTATCATATTATGAATTTCTCCTCCACATCCAGCAGCAAGTGAACAAGTAACACTGCACAGAGCCAACTACAAGAAGATATCCTTTCAGCAGGTCCATACTGCATAGTCTACATAATGCCTCTTCCGCAATGTTTGTAGGCAATATGCGTTAAAATGTGCATACACTGTGATTTCAACAACAAAAAATATCTAATGAGATGACTCTTTGGGGACTGGAATGTGCTAGCACACACATTGTAATTTTAAATGAGATTTAGGGCAAAATAAACAATCAAACCTCTACCAAATACTCATCTGAAATTTCTAGCAAGTTCCCTCATGTTTGACAGATGGGTATGTAACACTACGCAGCAGTCTTCACTGGCACCAAAGGGTTCTCACAATATTCAGGAGGTGATGAGATGTTCATAAAATAAAATTAGCTCTTTTTTCTTTTTTTTAACAGAATATTTTTGTTTGCCATTATCCATATTTTTTTTTTTTTGCTGCTAGTTTTACAGTCATCAATTGTAAGCAGTTAAAATTCATCTAAACTGATTATTTCATAGATTGGCCAAGATAACTGTTTATAAAACCAGAAGTTTATCTTTTGTAAAGGTCTATAGATCCTCTTCACCTTAGGACCAAAGTGAGGAAAAGGCCGATAGGAACTTAATGAAGAAAACACAGGTGCATCAACCTATTCTTACTGGCAACATCTCTGTGGAGCAGTTCTTGCTTTGAACAAAATGCTGACTAAGGAGATTATTGTGTATTGCTTTTTTTTTTTTGCCATTCGGGGACATTGGAATTATTTTGATTTTACCAGCTTATAAATCAGCGGCATAAATGATGATATATTTCATTTTAGACAAACTAGAATAGGAGGAAATCGTTTTATGTAGTAATGATAAGAACCAATAAAAATGAGCATAGTATTTTAGAGAATACATCATGCCTGAAAACGTGGTGGCCATAGACTCCCCTCTTCTTGAGGGAGGAGTTCCAACCTCTAACATTTCAGCACTCGTTCAAAAGTAAGTGGAAAACACCATAAAATCTGCACACTTGGTGGTGGAGCTAAATACAAAGTTGAACTAAAGCTGACACTTCTTTGTTTTAACCACCCCCAGCCCGTGGTTGATTTTTAGAGTAAACAAAGGTAATACCTAAGCATGCATTATCATGGGTTTTTGTTTTTTTGCATTGTTTTTTTTTTTTTTTCTCCACCCAGAAGACTCCTCTCTCTCAATCCATAACTTACATACTGTGGTTCACAAAATGCATTTTAATGCATTTGTTTTCCATATACGAAGTTGATAGTTTTATTTAGAACCAATGACCAGCAAGATTTTGGGGCTAGGGGTGTGATTGCTAAAGAAAAGAACATATTGTTTTGCTTCTTGTTCTTATCTGGAAGAAAAATCCATTTTCAGGAAGGACAGAATTATAAAATTAATAAAGTAGAGACTAAATGTAATTTATTCATTAAACATTTTTACTTATTTGGTCCTGTATGGAAGTGCACCTTTAATTGTGTTGCATTGATCGGCTCCATGAAAGATGGAATGGTTTAGACTGCTTTGCTATGCAACAAGTCTTTCTGCCGTCCCTGTGTGTGTTAAAAGCTGGCACAAGTTTCTATATTAATAACTCTAATTTATTGTGATGTAAACAGAACAAAATGTGTGTAATAACCTGATATAGATTTTCTTGTTTTAATAAAAGGCACCTTTTATTCTGGGATTTCATGTTAATAAAGTTTTTAAAGATTAATGTTTCTCCCTTTGGGGTTTATTTCCTAAACCAGGAATTGTGGAGGATTGACAGGGGATTTGTAAATCATGATATTAAATATCAATGCTGGTGGGGGGGTGGGTGGAGGGGGGAAGAATTTTGGCATAAGCCTATACTATTCCCTTCTCCATTTTCCAAATTTCCTGATTAAACAAATACCCCTGTATCTTCTATTTGGCCGTTATAAGTTTTATAACAAATATATATTTTTTTCAGTCACTGCCATCATGTAATTCACATCTCCTAGTGAAAATGAATAAATAAAATCACAGAATTGTAATCTCATACTGCAACATCTCTTCTTTTGATAGATGAAATCAATTTCAATGTCAAATTTTCTTTCAATGCTATTGGTAATCACGTCAGGGGCCATTTATTGAGTTGACGTACAATGCTGTAATTCTCAAAGCTGTAGAAAATCTGTATCCATTAAAACGAGGATAGCACTTTAATACTTAAAAAAAAAAAAAAATATATATATATATATATATATATAAAAAATTAATGAAGGTTTATTTTAATCGTTTCATACCACACAATTTCAAAACCTTTTTATATTGTAGTTTCTTTGAATTGAACTGCTCTGTGACTACTTCTGTAGAATCATCCTTTAGGATGCACAGCCCCTTTTTGACCCCTGTGGTCCCCATTTGTTTTGATCATTTTCCGTGTGCATTAACCCCTTAAGGACTGAGCCAAATGTACACGTTGAATGAAACAAAATGTAAACAAAACCTGGCATTTGCGCTACATGTCTGTCCAACCGTAATTCACCTCTTTCATATTAAATGCACCCACCCTTATTATATATCATTTTATTCAGGGGAAACAGGGCTTTCATTTAATATCAAATATTTAGCTATGAAACATTTAATATGAAAAAAATGGGAGAAAATACGTTTTTTTTTTTGTTTGTTTTTTTTGTTGTTTTATTTTGTTTTGTTTTTTTACATTTATTTAGTTCTACATGACATTTTAACTGTCAATGTCCTAATACTGTTTGCTTTTACTGCAATAAAATACATATATTTGTATTCAGCGATGTCTCATGTGTAAAACAGTACCCCCTATTTACAGGTTTTATGGCGTTTTGGGAAGTTACAGGGTCAAATATAGCATGTTACATTTGAAATTCGCCAGATTGGCTACGTTGCCTTTGGGACTTTATAGTATCCCAGGAATGAAATTTACACCCATAATAGCATACGATTTGCAATAGTAGACAACCCAAGGTATTGCAAATGGGTTATGTCCAGTCTTTTTTAGTAGCCATTTGGTCACAAACACTTTCCAAAGTTAGCGTTGGTATTTGTTTGTGTGTGAAAAATGCAAAAAACGCCAATTTTGGCCAGTGTTTGTGACTAAGTGGCTACTAAAAAAGACTGGACATACCCTGTTTGCAATACCTTGGGTTGTCTACTATTGCAAATGGTATGCCATCATAGGGGTAATTTTCATTCTTGGGCTACCATAGGGTCTCAAAGGCAACGTAACCAATCTGGCAAATTTTAATGTGAAAAAAAACACAAGCCTTATATTTGACGCTGTAACTTTTGAAAACACCATAAAACCTGTACATGAGGGGTACTGTTGTACTTGGGAGACTTCGCTGAACACAAATATTTGTTTCAAAAAAGTATCGCAGCAATAATATCGTCCGTGTAACTGCTGTTTGTGCGTGAAAAATGCAAAAAAAGTCACTTTTACTGGCGATATCATCGTTGTAATACATTTTACTGTTTTGCAACACTAATATTTGTGCTCAGCGAAGTCTCCCGAGTAGAACAGTACAGGTTTTATGGTGTCTTGGAAAGTTATAGGGTTAAATATAATGCTAGCAAATTAAATTCCCTTTACTTTCGGCATGGGTTGTCAGGCAGGTCCCGCTAATTGTAATTAAGATACCTAATTATGTAAAAAATATTACATATATATGTAGAATTAATATATATATGTGTGTGTGTGTGTGTGTGTATATATAAAATTTTTTTAAATATTTTTATTTATATATAGGTGTGTGTGTGTGTGTGTGTATGTGTGTGTATATATATATATATATATATATATATATATATATATTTACATTCTATGCGCATTTTGATATATATATATATATATATTAATATCACAATACAGTTAGAACGAAATAACACACATCTATATAATTTTTTATTTTTTTATTTTATTTTTTAATGCATTTACATATTTAATTTTTTTATAATATATATATATATATATATATATATATATCCATTATATATTTAATCAATATCAGTCTACGTGTAATTTGAATATATATATATAGTAAACTACACCTAGACAGTATATATGTGTGTGTGTGTATATATATATATATATATATGATCTAAGTATATATATATTTTTTTTTTTACACTTTCTAACTTTATTTTATTTTTATTTACAGTCAGCAGGGGGTCTACCTGTCATTACAGGCAGCCCCCCTGCTGGCAATGCTGCAGCCAGCTATCCCGGCCATGTGATTGTAAGGTCCTCGCAAGGACCTCACTCTCACATGGCCAGGGGCGCTGCCAGGAGGAAGATTTGCCGCGGGGGGGGGGCTCCCTGGGTATCCCAGGTAAGTAATGAAAGACCGGAGGGCGTACTTTTACACCCGGCAGCGTTTAGAGCCGCCTAATAGGCGTAATAGTACACCCTCCGGTCTTAAGGGGTTAGAAAAAGAAATTGACAGGATTTGCAGAAAGACAAATCGATTTTTGTTTAACCCCTTAGTGACAAGACTGTTTTTTTAATTTTCTTACCGTTAAAGGACCACTATAGTGCCAGGAAAACACTATAGTGCCCTGAGGGTGAGGAAGGGGTTAAACTTACCTCTTTCTCCAGTGCCGGGCGGGGAGCTCTCCTCCCCCTCTCCTTCTCTTCGGCTGAATGCGCATGCGCGGCAAGAGCTGCGCGCACATTCAGTCAGTCCATAGGAAAGCATTCACAATGCTTTCCTATGGACGCTGGCGTCTTCTCACTGTGAAAATCACAGTGAGAAGCACTCAAGCGCCTCTAGCGGCTGTCAATGAGACAGTCACTAGAGGATGGATTAACCCATAGGTAAACTTAGCAGTTTCACTGAAACTGCTATGTTTATAGAAAAAACCCTAGCTGGACCTGGCACCCAGACCACTTCATTAAGCTGAAGTGGTCTGGGTGCCTATAGTGGTCCTTTAAGGACCCCGTGGCTGTTTTTACATTTCTGTGGTGTTTGTGTTTAGCTGTAATTTTCCTTTTACTCATTTACTGTACCCATGCATATTATACAGTTTCTCGCTCGCCATTAAATGGTCTTTCTAAAGATGCCATTATTTTCATCTCATATATTTTGCTTGTAAAAAAATTATAAAATATGATGACATTTAAAAAAAAAAAAAAATCACACCTTTTCTAACTTTGAACCCTAAAATCTGTTACGCATCTACAACCACCAAAAAACACCAATGCTAAATAGTTTCAAAATTTTGTTCTGAGTTTAGGAATACCCAATGTTAATATGTTCTTACCTTTTTTGTAAGTTATAGGGCAATACATATATATTTAGTATCAATAGTAACATTGTAACTCTATCTGTCAAAAATCTTCGAATCACACCTCATGTGTACATATTTTTTTTAAAGTAGGCAACCCAGGGTATTCAATATAGGGTATGTCCAGTCTTTTTTAGTAGCCACTTAGTCACAAACACTGGTCAAAGTTAGTGTTCATATTTGCCAGTGTTTGTGACTAAGTGGCTACTAAAAAAGACTGAACATACCCAATTTGCAATACCTTGGGATGTCTTCTTTTTCAAATGGTATGCCATCATTGGGGAAATCCTCATTTCTGGACTACCATACGCTCTCAAAGGCAACATAACAAACCTGGCACATTTCAATGTGAAAAAATGGAAAACCAAGCCTTATATTTGACCCTGTAACTTTCAAAAACACTATAAAACCTGTACGAGGGACTTCGCTGAACACAAATATTAGTGTTTCAAAACAGTGAAACGTATCCCAACAATTACATCATCAGTGAAAGTGCAGTTTGTGTGTGGAAAAATGCAAAAAGCATCACTTTCACTGACAATATCATCGCTGTAATATGTTTTACTATTTTGAAACACTAATTTTGTGTTTAGCGAAGTCTACAGAGTAAAACAGTTCCCCCGATGTACATGTTTTTTGGGTGTCTTGGAAAGTTACAGGGTGGTTAAATATAGTGCTAGCAAATTAAATTCTCTGGGCTTTTGGCCAGGGTTGTCAGGCACGTCCCCCAAATTGCAATCAAAATGACTTGTGTAAAAATATTACATAAATATGCACGTAGAATTAAAATATATACATATTTGAAGCCTATGTGTAGATTAATGAAATTAAACTTACCTTTTGCAAGCCAGTTTTGTGTATGGGGTGTCTCTTACTGGCTGAAAGATCTCAGCTGGTCGGTGGCACTCCGCGCTTACCTGAAAGTGAAATTTCACAAGCCGGATGCCGTGGTGTGGGAGAGCTGAGATCCGTGCTGGTTGAACTCTGAGGTAAGGGTCTCCTACCTCCATAAGGCATCATAACGTCATTTGTTATGGTGCCTAAACTGTTCCTTTTAAACTTAATAAAAAATATATATTTAACAAAATTTAAAATATAAGTAGCTTTTGTGTTTGGTTATGCAAATCAAATTTATAATAGCCATTTGAATCTCTGTAGCTATTACATGTAAAATGAGTGTAAATCTCGTTGGAAAATACATGGATTTCAAATTGCATTTTGTAGGCTTGAGTTTGGAGACTTATATATGGCAATCTAATGTGAGCCCATAAACAAATCTGTATGTAAATTCATGTAGTGAATAAATTATTTGCATCTTTACATCTGAATTTGGAAGATCAAACTGAGGTAGAACCTCGGTGCTAGAACAAAGGTTAATTTAAGCATTTGTTTAAAAAAAAAAAAAAAATTATGCTTTGTGGAGAGATCACCACAGAAAGGGTTACTACGACCAAAACCAGTGTTTCATGAAAACACACGTGCACATAGTATAAACCATCTTGAACTGCAAAATAAGCTCAGTGCCACATGTCTGGTGAAATATAGTCAGAAAGTCAGGGAGGTATTGTAGACTGATATCATAGAATTGGCCAATTATAACAGTATGTTACAATTACACTGTGCCTTCTTGAATAAATGAGACGATTACAAAGTGTTACAGAAACAGTAGATTGAAGAGGACCCTGCTCAGATGAGCTTACAGTCTTGAAGAGGTGGGGTGTAAAACACAATAGGACAGGAGAAGCAGAACTGGAGTAGAGAGGAGAGTGCTGCCCATTAGCTTTCCTGAAGAGATGGGTTTTGAGTCAATTCTTAAATGCTAGGGGAGAGTCAGGTGGTAGGCAGGCTGATCCAAAGGAAAGGATCTGCCTGTGAAAATTTCTGCGAGCGTGAGAAAGCAGTATGAGTGCGAGCAGCGGACAGGAGAAGTTCGTCGGAAGACCAGAGAGGGCATACCTATGAATAAGGGAAGAGATATAACAGAGACTAGAGTTGTTCAGTTCTTTATAGGTATGGGTTAGTATTTTGAATTTTATAACATGACAGGAGGCTTCATATTTGCTTAAGTCTCTCTTTACTAGAACTCCACAGCAGCACATTAACACAGAGAAAATCAACCAATCAGAAAAAAGTTAGGTACTATAAAACTCCACTCCCCACACACAATTCCCTCTTTCTTTGCTGCTCCACATCAGTACAGGTCCTGCTTTTAGTGGGTGGCTGTGAATGTTATCTTATGCCTACTTTAATTGTATCTTGATTTGAGGATTTGTTTTACATTCCTCCCCTATTTATTCCATTACTTCTACCTGTCTTTTTTCCTACCTAAGTTTCCCTTGGGTCTGTCTAGCCTTTCTCTGTCTGACTTGATCTACACTTGCAAACCCTTTATACTTTGCAGGAAGGAGCTATGATTGTCTTTGAGATATACTGTCTGTCTGCTTTGCACTATTCTGTCACTGTTATTTGTTTATTTATCTGGGCTCTGGGTGTTGTATAGTCGCGAGGCTTCTACCTTGCTGCCCCCTCCGACTTTCCAAACTCCGGGACCGCAGAGTCTATCCCGTGCGGTCCCACGTGTTGTTTCTCCGCGGCCTCCTTGGAACTAGCGCTATTGTGTGAGATCCAGATGGCCGGAGCCCCCCTCCCTCACCTCTTCTGTGTCATCAGCGCCATCGAATCGCGACTGGCAAGTGCCGCAGCCCACGTGCGCCCGGACAACGAGGGAGAGTGTGGCTGTTCGCTGCCCTCTCACAGTGTTTGCTCTACTGCAGTGGGGTAAGCAGGTCCCTGGTTTTCTCTACGGGCACTAGAGTTCCTTGAGATGCCTTTATAGCTAACCTGTTACTAAGGCTGATGCTACTTCTGCATAATGTCCAGGATTGTGTCTCTGCATAGCTTAACCCCTTCCTTCCCTCTACATTAGCCTAGGATTCTTATGTGGGGTGGATTTTTTTATAACTCGCCTTGGGATGGGTGGAATTTTAGTATTCCCTTCAACTGTTTAGGCTTTACATTCATTCAGGGGGATAGTATGTTTGTTTTTAATAACCCTATGTTCATTGCCTTTATGTGAGATTGTATTCCTTTCTTTATTGCATATTGCTGGCTATCACTTCCTTTTCATACTCCTGTGCCACAGCCTCTGCCCCTCTTTTTCTCTGTGATCTGCTTCCATTGCCTCTAGGTTTTTGGGGTGTAATTTTTTCATTAGGTGGCATACCCTGGTCTGTTTAGGTATTTCTTCGCACTCTAGGTCACATTGTGGTGCATGCTGCATCCTTTTGGTGGGTATTGAGCCCAGCCTGGGGGTATCCCCTGTGGCACTGTTTTTTCTCTCCCGCCATGTCAGGTTAGGACCTCCTCAGGCAACTTATGTACTGCCCTTTATGTCGAGGCTTTTAGGGTGCGCTGCATGGAGGTGTTTGTGGTGTTTTTCTCCGTTATTTTTCTTATGGCCCACTCCCTGGTGGTTCCTTGTGGTAGACACCTGTCGGGTAGATTTCTATTGACACTCCTTCCAGTTTCATTATGAAACACATACAGTGACCAGTGCTCAGACACCAACGTGGGAGCACAGAAAATCTTTGGCCTTTAGCGGCTAATCCTTTAGCTGCAAATCCTGTATCCTTTTTATATCTAGGTAGTTATATCTATGTCATGTATAGTTCTTTGTTATTTACGGTTCGGTTTACCTGTTTTTCATTTCCTGTCCGTTATATTGCCTTCCCTCTGAGGTACTTATTTTTACTTTATCTCAACTTTAATTTTAGTTCTGTCGTTTCTTTGTTTCATGTCTTCCGGTCTATTCCTCTAGCTCGAGACGTCCAACAACTTCCCGGGCTCTCGTGGATCGCGGAGAACGTCTCCAGCGTTTCCTCAGGCTACCGGCGGCCATCTTGGATCCAAGCGGCCGTTTTTAGATTCCGTATTTTTCTCAGCCTGACTCCATTTTATACTCATAGACACGACCCTAGGCTGAATTGTTACTCCTACTACAATCAGTATTGTTTATTCCCAGTTTGTTTCCACCTCTCATATGACTGATACTGAGAGTGATTTCATGATTAGAGGGGGACCCCTCTCAGGATCTCAGCCCAACGCTGATATTAGAGGGTGAGCCCCTCGCATACAGTCAGTTTGTATTATACGAGGGTGCGGCAATCCCATAACCTCAGCCTGAGGCAGATGCAAATTGCATGATTAGAGGGTGACCCCCTCTCAAATACTGAACCTAACACAAATTTTTATTATTAGAGGGCACGGCCCTCCCATAACCTTAGCCCGATGCCGATATTGATGCATATTGCATGATTTGAGGGTGATCCCCCTCTCTTATAAGGAGACAGATACTGATATAGACACTTATTTTATTATTAGTGGGTACGGCCCTCTCATACTGTCAGCCTGACGCTGACACGGATACCGATTACATTGTTACAGAGTGCGGCTCTCTCATATGCTCAACCCGCTACTGAGCTCCCCTCGTGCACAGCCCAATATGACTACTTATACTGTTCCTATCAGTTTACCGTTTGCGTTGCAGTTTATTACAGTACTGGGTTCTGTTTCCATTCTTGGAGTGCGAACCCGTCTCTTGACGCTGCTCAACATGGTTATTTATCCTGCTACCGTCGGCCTTTGTTCATCTTACAGGCTTATACCAGTACAAAATACTGATGTCTTCTTAGAGGGCATCCCTCCTACATTCAACTCAATATGGACATACCGTGTTTTGCCGCTACCACTCTTGCAATAAGGGCTATGGCTACCTCACTGGAACGTCTAGGAGACCATTAGATCTAACGACTGTGCTACTATTTATTTTCTTTATATAGGTGCTACCTGATTGCGCATGGTATTGCCTGTTTAAACTGGCTGTCACTGTTACAACTCCTATATTGCTCTTCTGGATCTGTGCCACTGTATCCCCACTCGGGATATACTCACTGAGGTATTACTGGGTGAGATCCCCCCCACCTTATTTACACATTTCCTTGATGCCTTCTTGGGAAGGGTATGGGCTGTTTTGAACTGGCTGTCTCTGGTACAGCTCCTATGATTGGCCCACTTTGTTGGTGTCCCTGTACCTCCCTACTGGATATACTCCTGGAGGTTGTACTGCTAATGGGTGAGCCCCAGTTATTGCAGGTGTGTAGGCTATGGTATAATCTGCATTGTATCGAGCAGGCAACCGCACTTTGTATAGTTTTAAGTTTAAGAGATCCATCAATGTTTTGAGGGATTCGGGAGGGTTGGTCAGTGTGAATAATAGGTCATTTGCGAATGCAGATACCTTATATTGGTGCTTCCCCACCCAGATCCCCTCTACCCTCGACTCTTTCCTCACCGCATTCAGTAAGGGTTCCAGGCTTAGGATGAATAATAACGGGGACAGCGGACAGCCCTGTCTTGTGCCGTTTGATATACGGAAAGTATCTGAGAGTATCCCGTTGATTTTGAGTCTAGCTGTGGGATGAGAGTAAATAGCTCGGATCCACTGCATCCATCTGTCTCCAAAGCCAAGCGTTTCCAGCGTCGACAGGAGGAAACTCCAGTCCACCCTGTCGAACGCCTTCTCCGCGTCTATGGCGAGCAGGATGGAAGGGACCCTAGTACTATGAGCTCCGTGGATCAGGTTGATGCTTTTGGTAGTATTATCTTTAGCCTCCCTAGAGGGAACGAAGCCAGCTTGATCTGGGTGAATCAACGTCGAGAGCAGAGGCTTCAATCTGATTGCTAGCATTTTCGTAAAAATTTTCAGGTCGACATTGATCAACGAGTTCGGTCTATAACTACCACACAAGTCCGGGTTCGTCCCGGGTTTGTGGAGCAGAGTAATGTTGGTTTCTAGACTCGGCATGGGGATGGTTTTTTCTGGGCCTACTGAGTTGATTCCGTCTAGTAGGTGTTGAACTATTTATTTTAGATACGTTTTATAGTAGGCGGCTGAGAAGCCGTCTGGGCCGGGACTTTTGCCCGATGAGGTGGATTGCACTGCGTTGGTGAGCTCGAGAAGGGTGAAAGGTTCGTCCAACGATTGAGATAGAGACTGAGGACGGACTTTGTCAAATTTATCCAATAGGTATGTCTTGATTACCTCCCTGTCTTGTGTGGTCATGGTTAAATTGTATAATGAGTGGTAGAACTCCCGAAATGTGTTTGCTATCTCCTCATTAGTGTGTACTAAAGTGTTGGTAGAAGTCCTAATTTGGGGGATATATGTTTTCTCTTGTCTGTGCTTGAGTGCGTTAGCTAAAAGTTTGCCGCATCTATTTCCATGTGAAAAGAATAATTATTTGGTCCATGCCATCGATTTTTTGGCCTTGGACTGTAGGAGGAGCGTCAGTTCAGACCTTAGGGATAGGAGCTGACGGTAGTCCAGATCGGACATTAATTTCTTATGTGTTTCTTCCAAGTGTTGAATGTCCGTTAATAGTTCAGTCTGCCTCTTATTTTTGTTTTTTTAAGATAGGATCCCCATTTTATTAGTTCCCCTCGCACCACACACTTATGTGCCTCCCATTGAAGGAAAGGAGTCGTGTCTTGTGTATTGTTCTCCTGGAAGTAGTGCGCTATGGTTTGGGCGATTGCTTGTTTCGCCATTTCATCATGGAGGATAGTAGTATTGAGTTTCCACTGGCCTTTCCCCTGTGCTAGAGAGGGGATTTTAAATTGTATGTAGATTGGGGCATGATCGGACCACGTAATGTTTCCAATCGTTGCCGAGGTGATCAGGGAAAGATCCCTATGTGTGGTGAGAAAGAAGTCTATTCTCGTGTATGTGGAGGCTGATTTGGAATAAAAGGTGTAGTCTTTCGTGGAAGGGTGTAGCGCCCTCCAGCAGTCTACTAATTGGTGATTATGAAGAAGCCTCTTTAGCTGGGATCTGAGGGGTTGGAGATGATTTGGGTGGCGTGACGTATTGTCCTGCAGAGCGTCAATAGATAAGTTAAAGTCGCCCCCTATAATTAAAGTTCCTTGTGTGAGCCGCTGGATATTGTTTAGAATTTTGCGGAATGTATGACACTGGCGTGTATTTGGTAAGTAGACATTAGCCAGAGTGATTGAAGCATTGCCAATCAGTCCCTGTACGATGACATATCGGCCCGACGTGTCTGCGTGGTGTTGGTGATACACGAACGGTATCTTAGCCCCTATCAGGATCGCTACTCCGCGAGACTTGCTGAGGGAGTAATTATTGTAATATACATGAGGAAACCGTCTATTGGCTAGCTTTGGGGCTGCGGATCCCTTGAAGTGCGTCTCCTGCACATAAACAATGTCTGCCTGTGATTTATAGAAATCCCTAAGAGCCATATTTCTTTTCTCTGGTGCATTAAGTCCCCGGACATTGTATGATAAAATTTTAATTGTATCAGTAATAGAAGAAGTGGTTTGTGTGAAGCCATTAAAAATCCTTCCCTGTCCTGGTGTGCAGGTTGGTGAGCTTGTGATGTAGGTGCCTAGCGATGTATACGACTTTTATAACTGGGCTACAGAGGGCCCAAATACGAGTGTGGAAAACCCGAATAACAATACAACTAACCAAATAATAAATAAATAAGGAACGTAGAAAATAAACTTCGTGTATGTGTCTCGGATGTTCTTATTCTAGCTAGTGTCGTCCCTAGCCAGTAAAGGAGTCAGTGTGTATTATCTCCCCCCGTCAGTGGAATAAATCGGAATCGGGGTAGATGCCCCACCGATTGGTAGGTGTCTTGCACCGCTCGTAACCTCAGTCGGTTACTCGGGGTGGTAGCTGATGTAGTGTGTGATTGCAACTGATAAATCGTGTTTATCCAGTATGAATACTTTTGAATATGTTGAACAGTGTCACTGTTCTCAGTCACCGTTCTTAAAGGCACTTATAATCTTGCGCCGCCAAGCGCTATGTGTATTGCGTGCGGGTCGGGGCGTGGTGTCTTCACTCTCTTGGTCTGAGATTATGATTAACGTTCTCTATATATAATGTGCCCCCCTTCCCCTTTTTTTTTTTTCGTTTTGTTTTCCTCCTTTTGTATTACCGTACTTGGTCGAGAGGAACATACCTAACTTATGACAAATACAGGACGATTGATACTAGCATACATAAGAATAACAATTTGAAAGCATCCTAGAGCTGTGCGTATGATGTTCCCCTCCCAAATCTCCTCTCTGGGGTGCTCACCCTGGCTGCCACTAATTGTGTGAAGTATAGGAAGAGTGTCTCCCACACCTATTTATTTATTTATTTTTTTGTTGCTTTCTTTCCTTCCCTCATCTCCCTGTCCTTCTTTGTGTTCGTTTTGTGATCTAAGCAAAGTAAACACTCCCCCACCACACCCCGGTTCTTTCCGATTGTGACCCCACTCCCCCAGACCCAACTGCCCAGAGTCACTAGTAAGTCCCACAGTTCAGAGAGTATGTGTCTCTCAGTACTATCCCCCTAAAATGAGTCTGGTAGTGTAGGGTGCGATACTTGCGTCAGTCCAGTGCAGACAACAGCATGTGCCAGGAGGCTCCGGAGCCGCAGAGGTTCTTAACTGTCCCTGAGTGGCCCAGCTGGGAAGCGGGATGCCCCTGAGTTGTAACCGGTCCCGCTTGTAATAAAGGCTGTGCAGCTGGTTCATGAGCGTGCAGTCCCATAGCAGAAGGATGCGAGAAGTTAAGTGCCTGCCGAGGTCCAGAGACCGTAGTGAGTGGTGGTCGTTTCCGCGGTGTCCTCTTCTTCTCCAATGTTCCTCTCCATCTGAGCTGCTGTGGCAAGCCCTGTGCTGCCTCTTGTGCCCCCTGGCCATACCAGACGAGGATCTCCACCTGAGGAAGGTCGAATGCTTACAGGAATTCTGGAACATCTTGAATAGATGTGATACTACTTTGTGTTCCCTGATGTGAGGCGTGGAGAGAGAAAGGGAATCCCCAACGGTATCTAATCTCTTTGGCCTGCAATGCCTGTGTAATCGGCCTGAGGGCCCTCCTCCCCTGAAGCGTCTGCCACGCTAGATCTGGTAGAATCTGGATACGCGCGTCTGGGAGATTCAAGGCAGGGGAATTCCTTGCCAGGCGCAGAATATCTTCCTTTACGATGTAGTAGTGAATTATGCACACTATATCCCTGGAAGTTTCCTGCGGTAGGCCCCTAGGTCTTGCCGCTCTGTGCGCTCTATCCAGCAGGATCGGGGTGTCTGTAGCGCGTTGCAGTATGTTGTTGAAGAGAGTCTGGAGCATGCCCTTGATGTTTTCCATCTCTCCCTGTGCCTCCAGTATCCCTCTGACCCGGAGGTTATTTCTCCTACCCCGGTTGTCTAAGTCCTCTGTATGGCGCAAGACCATAAGCATTTTAGATTTCTGTGCTGTTAGCCTTTGTTCTATGGTGGATAACCTGTTGTGTATGGTGTCCCTCTCTCCCTCCAGCACTCCCACACGTTGCCCCATCTGCCGTACCTCTGTAGTGATGGAGTTCAGCCATTCCTGCATAGATGCCTCCAGCTTCAGCAGCATTGAGGCTATATCCTCCTTAGAGGGCAGATTCAGAATCAGATCTTGCAATGTTGGCTGTCCAGGGAGTTCTGGGGATTCTGAGCTTGCTGGGCTAAACGGGGATGGACCTCGTGGTGATGATGGCGGCGGGGAAGATGGCGGCACCGCCATTTCAACCTTCACCGGCCCTCTCCCACTTTTTCGGAAAAACCGCTCCAGTTCTCCCGCTTTTTTTTATTGCCCATCACTCTGGGAATTTCGCGCTTGGCGGCAAATACTGCGCGGTCAAGCGGGAGCTGAGCTGGGACACGTCCGTCTACATACGGAGTCAGGCCCCCCAAAACATTTTTTAAGTAAAATTCTAAAAAAAACAAAAATGAAAGTGTAGGTACATTAAAAACTGAAACGGGGGTGTTAGTTAATGAAGACCAGGAAAAGGCAGGAATTTTAAATAACTATTTCTCCTCCGTATATATTAAGGAAGAACCCATGGCAATAGATGTGCAAATGATTGCTACTAAAAACTTGCAGAATAATTGTAATTGGTTAACTCAAGACAGGACGGTATCCATCCACGAGTACTTAAGGAACTAAGTGTAGAAAAAAGTGAACCTCTGTTTTTAATCTTTTAAGATTCTTTTCTTTCAGGAAGTGTTCCGCAGGATTGGAGGAAGGCAGATGTGGTTCCTATATTCAAAAAGGGTTCAAAATCCCTGCCTGGAAATTATAGACCTGTGAGCTTAAAGCGGCACTGTCATGCCGAATCCTGGTTTTTTTTTAACCCCCCTCCGGCCTTCACTACATCTAACTAACACCCTAGTCACCCCCAAATGCCCCTAAGCCCCCCACATTACATTTTTTTTATTCCTTATTTTCTGCCTCGATCTATATTCAGGGCGCCGCCATCTTTGTGTGGGTAGATGAAGTCCCTGTGGGACACGTCATCAGCCCACACTAGATAGCCTGTGAGATTCCCGCACATGCCCAGTGAAACACCTGGACATGCGAACAGGAATTTCATCTATTCATTCATTCATCAGACAGACGAATGAGTGAATAGAAAGATCAGCCGAACAAACTAACCCTATGTATCAGTGTTCGTTTGTTCGTGCAGTTTATTACAAAGAGGGAGCTACCGGCACGCAGCTCCCTCCTTGTAATATGTAACTATAGAAGCGGCAGGGAGCAGTGCTCCCCACCCCTTCATAAGCCCCCCAGGCCCCCCCTCACTCTATGGGGGTCAATATGACCCCCATAATAGCACAAGGGAGATTAAAATCTCCCCAATGCCCCTACTCGCTATACCGCGAGTAGGGACATGGCCACAGGCTGATCACTGTAAAATAAAAAAAAAAAACTATTGGCCCCCACCCCTAAACGACGGGTGGGGGCCCTAAAGTAAAATAAGGGGGGAGACCTAATGTCCCTCCCCGGCCCCCACCCCTGGGTGGCGGGTGGGGGCCATAATGAGAATGAGGGGGCCTACTGCCCTCCCCCCCGGCTCCCACCCCTGGGCGGCGGGTGGGGGCCATAGTGATAATGAGGGAGGGGACCTACTGCCCCCCCTGGCCCCCACACCTGGGCGTCGGGTGGGGGCCATAATGAGAATGAGGGGGGGGGACCTACTGCCCCCACCATGGGGGCAGGCTGCTCACTGTTTACCAGACATGCCCCTACTCGCGGTATAACGAGTAGGGGCATATTATTTACTAATACTAAGTAACCTTTACTTAGTATTACTAAAGTTGGCTGAAAGACCAATTTAGGTCTTTCAGCCTTTTCGTAGATAACTCCTTGATACCGTGGGAATTAGGGAGTTATCTACTAAGCGGCTGCAAGGTGCAGCCACAGCATGAATAGGATCGGAGTTTCATTCATTGGAATGAAATTCCGATCCGAATAAAATGCCGAATTGTGTTCTAAAAGAAACGAACATACGGTTCTCATTCAGTTAGAACGCAATTCGGCAGTTTCGTGTAAAATGACAGGAAGCATCGCGGGAACACAGAGGAAAGGTGAGGATCATGGGAAAATTGCTCTGACCAGCGGAAATGAAGCACACTGTGCTCCTCCGCTGGTCAGAGCTGGTCAAGCGGAGGAATCCTCCATAAGGCAAAGAGTCCCTACTTTGTCTTATGATTTTAAAGAAAACTAAAGAAGACAGGAAGAAAAGAAGAACAGATCCTGAGAGAGGGGGAGAAGAGGAAGAGATTGAGGAAAGGTAAGTTTGGCATGACAGTGCCGCTTTAACTTCTGTGGCTGGGAAAATATTTGAAAGGTTATTAAGGGATAATATTCAAGAATTCCTTGAGAAGAACATGGTTATCAGCAAAAATCAGCATGGTTTTATGAAGCACAGGTCATGTCAAACTAACTTGATTGCATTCTACGAAGAAGTAAGTAGAAGTATAGATCAGGGTGTTGCCGTGGATGTGATCTATTTGGATTTTTCCAAGGCATTTGATACATTTCCACACAATAGATTAGTGTTCAAACTCAAGGAAATCGGTCTAGATGAAAATGCTTGTTCTTGGGTAGAGCATTGACTTAAAAACAGAGTACAGAGTTGTCATTAATGGTAAATTTTCAAGCTGGACAGAGGTGGCAAGTGGTGTCCCTCAGGGGTCTGTTCTGGGACCCCTTCTATTTAACATGTTTATAAATGATCTTGAAGACAGCATTGAAAGTCATGTTTCAGTGTTTGCAGATGACACAAAACTTTGTAAAATAATACAATGTGAGCAAGATATTACTTTGCTGCAGAGGGATTTAGATAGACTGGGGGACTGGGCACTCAAATGGCAGATGAAATATAATGTTGAAAAATGCAGTTATGCACTTCGGCGTAAAGAATACACAAGCAACGTATACCCTTAATGGAAGCGAATTAGGGATAACAACACACGAAAAGGACTTGGGAATTGTTATAGACAACAAACTATGCAACAATGTGCAATGTTAATCAGCAGTGGCCAAGGCCAGTAAGGTATTGTCATGTATGAAAAAGAGCATTCATTCTCGGGACGAGAATATCATTTTGCCTCTTTATAAATCACTGGTAAAACCACATATTGAATATGCTGTGCAATTTTGGGCACCTGTTCTAAAGAAGTATATTATGGCATTAGAGAAAGTGCAGAGGCAGGCTACAAAATGAATAAAAAGAATGGAACATAACAAATTTAAACCTATTTAGTTTAGAAAAACGTCGCCTGAGAGGGGATATGATAACATTATACAAATATATTCGGGGCCAATACAAACCATTGTGTGGAAATCTATTCACAAACCGTACATAGGACACAAGGTCATGCGTTTAGACTGGAAGAAAGAAGATTTTGTCTAAGGCAAGGGAAACTTGATGAATGCAAGTCTCTCTTCAGCTATGTAACTATGTATGTAGCTTTAATAGTTTGGGTTAATCAGGTACGTATGCAACTCTGCTTGTTGTCTCTGCTACCTGTCACTTGTTCTTGTGTCCGTTTCCTAAGTAAGGGTTGGGATCTCTGTATATTATGGTATTTCTGGTTGTTACACTGGATGCCTACATGTTTTGTTCAGAGTACATTTCATTGGCTAACCAACCTTTTCGATTCTGTTTTTTTTTTTTTTTTTTCTCATTTCAGTCAACGCTACCTGGTTTGACAGTTCTTCTCGGAATGTGGACGTTGTATTTATTGTATCTAGGACTTAGTTTTTCTCCATTATTGTTTTCTGCCTTTTTTTATGTTTTTGTCGTAGTTTGAAAGAGAAAATTATGTATGGGGAGTTTTAGAGTACCTAACTTTTTCTGATTTGTTGTTTTTCTCTGTGTTAATGTGCTGTTGTGGAGTTCTAGTAAAGAGAGACTTAAGCAAATTTTCGCCTATTGTCATTAATAAAATTAAGTTTATAGGTACACTAAAGCTAGCATAATCTTCAATTTACTCCTATAGGATACAGGAAGCCAGTGTAAGGACTGACAGAGGGGTGAGGTGTGAGAGGAGTGACTGGAGAGGAAAATCAGTCTGGCAGCCACATTCATTACAGACTGTAGCAGGGCAATACAGCTTCTGTGAAGACCAAATAAGAAACCAATACAATAGTCAATGCAAGAGCTTACTAGAGCAAGCTCCTTAGTAGCAACTTGGGTAAGAAAGGGGTAGATGCGGACAATGTTTTTAAGGTAGAATAAACCAGATTTGACAACATACTTGACGTGAGGCTCAAAAGTGATGCCATAATCAAATACAACACAAAGACAGCGAGCTTGAAAGGATTGGCTGATTGCTTTCAACTTAAAGAGAAAGCAAAACAGGGGAATCAGTTTTATGAGAAGGAAAGACAAGAAGCTCAGTTTTTGAGAGATTAAGTTTCAGAAAGCAGAAGGACATCCAATCAGAAATGGAAGAAAGGCAAGCCGTGACACATTGCAGGATGGCGGGGGAGAGATCCGGGTAGGAGAGAGATAACTGGGTGTTATCTGCGTACAGGTGTTAGTTGAATCCAAATGAGACAAAAAGTTATCCAAGAGAGCAGTATAAAGAAAAAAACAAATGGATCAAGACCAGAGACGCGGGGTACTCCAACCAATGCAGGACAAAGGAAAGATGTATCAGTAGGAAAGAAGGCACTGAATGAGTGTTGGGAGAAATAGGAGGAAAGCCATGAGAGGACAGTGCCACAGAGACCAAGTGATTGAAGAGTTTGAAGTGGGAGAACATGATCAACAATGTCAAAGGCAGCATAGTGGTCAAGAAGAATTATTATGGAGTAGTGGCCTTTAGCTTTAACTGTTAGTAACCTTATTCAGAGCAGTCTCACTAGAGTGGAGGGTTGAGGAGAGAGTTGGAATTGAGGAAGCAAGCCAAGTGGGTGAAGACAAGTCTTTTCAGAAGCTTTGAGGAAAAAGGGAGCAGGGATATGGGACTATAGAAGGGGAGGACAGGTCAAGAGATGGCTTTTTTAAAAACTGGCACTAAAGTAGTATTTTTAAGGGCAGCAGGGACGAGGCCAGAAGAAAGAGAGCATTTGAAGATTTGTTTTATGGAATGAACAAGATATAGGGCGAGATATCTGATAAAGTGAGACGGGACAAAATCAAGCGTGCAAGTGGTGGGGCGTGAAAACAGGAGAAGCCACCTCTTGTTCAGTAGCTGGGGAGAAAGTCCAAAGGGTAGGAAAGGCATGACCTAGGTGTGGTTGAGAGAGAGGCGAAGTGGGGAGAATTCTTTCTTTAACAGTTCAATCTAGTCTGTAAAGTAGTACACAAAGCTATTGGCGGTAAGGTTAGTTTGGGTGGTTACCACAGAAGAGCAAAGAGGTTTTCTTGATCTAAATGTGACTAATATTCTTAGTAAGATGCATGCAGCGGCACTATCCTCTGCTCCCCCTTTTCACTTCTTTTTCTCTTTCTACCATTTCTTTATTAAATCTTACTTATTAAAATTATGAGAGGAAAATAATGATCTTAATACAACTGAAACATAATATCTCAATAATAGACATAGTAAGAAGAAGAAATTTGATGTAAAATTCATTAAGCATTTTATGTGTCCTATGTTAAACCAATGCTTATTCTACTACAGTTGTACATTGTATTTCTATTTTACTGAATCTCTTAAAGGGATACTATAGGCACCCAGACCACTTCAGCTCATTGAAGTGGTCTGGGTGCAGCTTTCCAGGATCCCTAAACCTTGCAAAGGTAATTATTGCAGTTTTTTATAAACTACAATAATTACCTTGAAAGTTTAACTCCACCTCTAGTGGCTGTCTGGTAGACCTTCGGATCGTTAGGCGCCTAACTGACATTGGACTTCCTCATGCTATGCATGAAGACTTCCAGTGTCACCGGAATCACCAGAAATCTTAATTGCTGCACCTTCGCATTAGGGCTCCCCCACCGGGTTATAATCCCCTTCTGCACCACAGGGAGGGGTTGCTTAAATCAGTGGAAACTACAGTGCCAGGAAACCAAGTTTGTTTTCCTGTCTTTATAGTTTCCCTTTAAATAGAGCATTTAAGAGAGAGAGAAAAAAAAAGAAGAGCCTGGGATTGCGGGAGCATGAACTAATAAGAGCAAAAGGAGCGGGAGTAAGGTATGTTAAATCTCCGGGGCAGGAAGAGCAGGGCATGGACCCAGGTAAGTAGTGATTAGAGGGAAGAGGAGTAGCTCATTGCCCAAATCAATAGGTAATTTAATAGTTAATACATAACTTTTAATCGTTAATTAGTTTAAAAGGCATACGCGTATGACTGCTAGGTGTCAAAAAAAGTCAAAATAAAACAAAGGAAACTAGATGAATCAATGTAGAGAACACAGAACACATACATTTCTATTTACAATATATATACAGTGATAAAAAATAAAAAAGGAGAAATAAAGAAAGTATATGCAGGACTATGTACAAATGCTAAGGTTTACCCTGAGTAATATGAGAGAGTTATTAAAGGTAGAGCGATATGGCAATAGTAAGAAATTGTATCCTATAAAATGTCAAGGCAACATGTAGCCAATATCAGGAAAATGCAACGTTGTATACTATATTGGTGCTGCTATACTGTGCCAGGAGGAACCCTCAGCTCAACAGTGCTCTATACCTAAATACAAATTCAAAAGAAAACTGGAGTTGAGACCAGAGAAAGACTGTGGGTAAAAGTAAAACTGACACAAAAATAAGATTGGTGAACTGCTCAAAATAGGTACTAATCTGTGCTTTCATTGCACCTGTGCTTAGCTTGTAAGCAAAATCTAGCTATCACTAAAGAGCAGTACACCAGTGATTATCATATTGCCCAGGTCAGTCAAATGTTGAAGCATGCGGTAATACACGTGCTGTGTATACGCCGAGTATCATGATCTGTCTGTTAGAGGTAATCAGACTGACCGGGTAAAAGATGGAGCCCCGACACGCGTTTCGTTGGTTGGGCAGCTCTTCAGGGGGAAAGGAGCCTCTGGAGAGATAGGTTTAAATGTCAGGCTGTTACTAATGATTGACAGGTAAGTCAACCAATGGGACTGGTAAAGAATCAGACAAGTGTTACACCTAATGGAATTTATCATACTGTATTATAATGTCATAAAGGTGAATGGAACAAAATGTAAAAACATTTTTTTATAGGATATAATGATGGTTTTAGACAAAGCCATGAATCAAAAGGACTGTTAATGCTTATGTTGTGTTGAGCTGAATATGGTTGAGTCAATGAATAATTAATTTAGAAATAAGCGTTGTCACAGAGTAAATAGGTTTGACTGAATCTCTGAAAAATGTTGTAATTTTATACAGTTTGTAATATGGAGGTAACAGCTGAGTAAGTGTTGTACCTAGAGGAATCTGTCTAGATTTAAAGTTATGTGCTTGAATGCAAATAATAAGGTTGGTAAAGTCTAATATTCATGATTAGATGGTGGTAGATAAGTTGATACAGAGTGGACAGACATTCTGTCGGGTAAGGTCTAAAGGTCATTAAGTGTCATGAGAGAAGGAATGGATATATTTTTAGATATTAGATAGCCAGTATTGAGCAGATTTGTCAATGAATGGGGTAAAGCTGAATTCTTCATTTAACTCATTTGGTGCCATCGTTTGAAAATGTATAGATTGTTGTAGAATCAGAGGTTAGTAGTTTGTGGGTGTGATGATCATTGGGATGATCCATACACATGTTTACATATTTGTCTCATTTTAACAGTATAATATTTAATTTTAACAAATAATTTAAATTGCGATAAATATGTAAACATGTGTATGGATCGACCCAGTAAATGTTTGGAAAGTATTTTACATCCTCTGGTCAAATTGTTACCAAGATACAAGGACACACTGCTAGCACTAGAAAATCTTGATGTCCCACCATATACTTGTCACGTATTCATCCGCACATAAAAATATGATTAATGGCATTTACTGTTCTGACAGAAAAACTTGTTCCGAGCAAAATTACTGTCCTGACAGGAAAAGTTGTGTCGAGCAGCAATCCATCCAATGGAGGCTATGTGCTGAGCAGCAATCATGCAAATAGAAACCTGGGGTCAAAGCCCAGTTACAACCAATCAGATCCACAGGCCCAGTTCTCCTCTTGCTCAGTGCCCTGTCGTGGTTTCCCTTGTGGTTGTCCGAGAGCGCGTTATTGATTCTGGTTATTCTGGTTATTTGACTTTGGCATTGATTTTGACTTCCCTGTTTTCTGGCATCCCTGACCCCTGGCTTTTCCTTTTCGTTGTGTCTCTTTCTGTGTCAGGCTATTCCTGACTATTCTTTGGTACGTTAGTCCGGCTATTCTAAAGTCCGGTATACGTGTCACGGGTGGTGGTACAGAAACCGGGACCCTTGAGTGCCTGATGAGAAGTGGGAGTCTTCAGAGTAGCAGTGGATTATAGGGCTCGGTTCAGGGTAACCGAACGCCCCCTGGTGCGTTTGCGCGGCCACATACCGGAACCCTGATGCAGCTACAGCGGATCCCAGGAACTAGGAGCTTGATATGCAGACCTCCCAGGAACTGGATAGGGGGGCTCTGTAGCAGACATGTATCCAGTACAGAAACAAGGAAAGACTAGAACAGGCACCAAACATGAAAACAAGACAGAACTAGTAGAACCCAGAACCAGAGAAGGATAGGAAGCAGAACATGTACACAATACATAAGGGAACATTAACTAAACAGGGGCAGGACAGGACAGGACTGTACATGGACTGGGAATACAAATCAAGACAAGATATGATAGGCAAAGCAAGAGAAGACATAACTAAGCACTATATATGAAAAGTATGGGGATTTAGTTACATTATATGATCATAGATTGCATAAGCCTGCCACAACGCCAATGTAACTAAAATTATAGATCAGGGTGGTGCAGCAGACATTGCTTACCTAGATTTCAGTAAGGCTTTTGACACTGTTGCACATAGAAGGCTTATCAATAAACTGCAATCTTTAAGTTTGGATTCAAATATTGTTGAATTGGTAAGGCAGTGGCTGAGTGACAGGCAACAGAGGGTTGTAGTTAATGGAATATATTCGAAGCTTGGACTTGTCACCAGTGGGGTACCTCAGGGATCTGTACTTGGACCCATTCTCTTTAATATTTTTATTAGTGATATTGCAGAAGGTCTTGATGGTAAGGTATGTCTTTTTGCTGATGATACCAAGATATGTAACAGGGTTGATGTTCCAGGAGGGATAAGCCAAATGACAAATGATTTAGGTAAACTAGAAAAATGGTCAGAATTGTAGCAACTGACATTTAATGTGGATAAGTGCAAGATAATGCATCTTGGACGTAAAAACCCAAGGGCAGAGTACAGAATATTTGATAGAGTCCTAACCTCAACATATGAGGAAAGGGATTTAGGGGTGATTACTTCTGATGACTTAAAGGTAGGCAGACAATGTAATAGAGCAGCAGGAAATGCTAGCAGAATGCTTGGTTGTATAGGGAGAGGTATTAGCAGTAGAAAGAGGGAACACTGGTGTGACCTCACTTGTAGTATTGTACACAGTATTGGAGACCGTATCTTCAGAAGGATATTGATACCTTAGAGAGGGTTCAGAGAAGGGCTACTAAACTGGTTCATGGATTGCGGGACAAAACTTACCAGGAAAGGTTAAAGGATCTTAACATGTATAGTTTGGAGGAAAGACGAGACAGTGGGGATATGATAGAAACATTTAAATATATAAAGGGAATCAACACAGTAAAGGAGGAGACTATATTTAAAAGAAGAAAAACTACCACAACAAGAGGACGTAGTCTTAAATTAGAGGGACAAAGGTTTAAAAATTATATCAGGAAGTATTACTTTACTGAGAGGGTAGTGGATGCATGGAATAGCCTTCCAGCTGAAGTGGTAGAGGTTAACACAGTAAAGGAGTTTAAGCATGCATGGGATAGGCATAAGGCTATCCTAACTATAAGATAAGACTAGGGATTAATGAAAGTATTTAGAAAATTGGGCAGACTAGATGGGCCGAATGGTTCTTATCTGCCGTCACTTTCTATGTTTCTGTGTTTCTATGTTTCTTCTTAGATTTAAAAATCACACTGTCATTAGATGGAACCCTCCAAATCTAACTGTATCGCAAAGCCACTTCCACCAACAGCTTTTTACATTGGGAAAGTCACCATCCCCCCAGATTTATATCGTTCATTCCATATGGCCAGTACCTGCGAGCATGCGAAATTGTTCAGATGACACCAATTTCCTCCAAGAGTGTCATGAACTTAGACAGAGGTTTTGGTCTCTTGGATACCCAAATAGGGTTTCATAAAGTATGCCACATGGACAGAGCATCAAGTAGCAGAACAACAAAACCATCAGATGCATATCTACATATGATCGAGGCTGGCCGACTGACATTGTCAAAAAAAAACGGGCCCATTTTAATACACAATCAGGAACTAAGAGAATCCTTACCAACGTATCGAGCACTCACAGCTTGTCGATCTAAGAATCTATGCGATCTACTCATGCATAGTCACCTGGAGAAAAAGTCCACAGACCCACTCTGGTTAACTGCAACCAAAGGCACCTTCCGTTGCTGCGACTGCAAGGCATGTAAAAATATCTCACCCTCTATATTCACCAAGTCTAACCAAACTGACCTTATATTAAATACCAATGCATTTGTTAATTGTAGCACAACCAAAGTCATTTATCTCATCACCTGCTCCTGTGGTAAACAATAGATAGGCAAAACCTATCAACAATTCAGACGACGTATACTTCAATATATCGGCTCAACCACCAGTTCTGGCAATCTCACTCCTGTTGCCAAACATCTCATCAACATAACGCTGATTCAGTTCAACTGAGATTTCAGGCCATAGAAAAATTAATCCTTAATTCATTAAAAGGCAATTTTAAGTTACTCCAAAAAGAATCAAGATTTATCTTTAAATTTCAAACAATGGCAACAAAGGGGTTAAATGAAGAATTCAACTTCACCTCATTCATTCATTGCTGGGAGGCCCATAAAAGTGTAATCAGTGGGCACTTTATCCGACTGAGCGCAGCTCTTAAGAAACAGACCAAAAGCTGAATGATAGAAATCATTACAGATGTCCAACAGACGAAAGGGCTCAACAAGATCCCACAACACTTGACAGACCAGACGAAACTACTGCAACTAAAACGAAGCCTGACTACTCTACTTCAATTGAAAAAGCATAGAGACACAGTCAGACACAAAGCATTCTTCTCACTTCACAGAAACAAAAGTGGTAAACTGTTAGCAAGGATGCTAGCCAAAAGGAGACAGGCGACGTACATAAATACTATAAGAAACAAACACGACACCCTGCACTACTTGCCCACTAAAATCCTGGACACGGTGAAGACCTACTACTCGGACCTGTACTCGCACCCACGACCCCAATCCGACAATGCAAAATCTCACCTTCAGGAGAAAATACAAAGCTACCTGTCATCTCACCCCCTACAGACCACAGACAAGAACATCGCTGACCAGCTAGATGAGCCAATTACCTTGGAGGAGTTGGCGATCAAAATTACAAAACCTGTCAAAAGTCCGGGCCCAGACGGACTGCCACTACGATACTACAAAACATTTGCCGACAACCTCTACTCCCCACTGTTGGACTCATAACGCAATACGGGAAGGACACCGTCTGCCCAAACAATCGCTGACAGCACACATCACAATCATACCAAAAGGGGGCAAGGACGAGGAACACTGCAGGAACTACAGGCCCATCTTGCTCATTAATTGCAATGTCAAAGTGAAGGCGAAAAATCTTAGCCACACGCTTTCAAACCCACATCCCTACACTGGCGCACACAGATCAGGTGGGTTTTGTGACAGGACATGAGTCAAATGACAAGACAATCAGGGCACTGACCCTCATGCACGGACAGCAGTGGGAGAGTGGAGGCCTTCTCCTGCTATTCATGGTTGCGGAGAAGGCCTTCGGCAGGGTTTGCTGGGAATACTTGTGGGGCAGCACATCAGGGATTGGATCGAGGCGCTATATGACAGACCCTCCACCCATGTCATTGTTAACTGGTCCCTGACGGCAGAATTCCCAATACATTACGGCAACCAGCAGGGGTGTCGCCTATTCCCCCTGCACTTCATCTTAGCACATGAACCGTTCTTGACATATGAGATGAGACAATGACATCAGGAGCATCACAAAGGGGGACACACGCCACAAAGTGGCGGCATACGGTGACTATCTCCTATTCTTTGTCACCAACCCGGAGATCTCACTGCCAAATATCCTTGAAGCCTTTAGAGTATTCAGGGATATCTAACTTAATAATCAACTTCTCCAAGTCATATATCCTAAATATTAGCGCGCCAACCCACTACGCAGGAGCTATACGTTCTTATGGGCAGAGCACAAGATACAGAATCTGGGCACCTGGCTGACTAAGAGGAGCAGTAACCCGTTTAGAGATCACCCCGTTGCTAGAAAAGTTCAAACGGGAGCTGACCAAATGGTCATAACCGCACATATCCAGCTGGGCCGAATCCAAGTCATTAAAATTAACTTTCTCCCCCGATTACTGTACCTCATGCAGGCCCTTCTTATAGTTGCTATGGAGACGCTATATAGATGACGTTCTTATTGTATGGAAGGGCTCAAGAACCCTTTTAGAAGATTTTTTACAATATATTAACTCTAATTCTTATAATTTAGTTTTTACGGCAAAAATTAATCAATTTAATATTAATTTTTTAGATTTAACTTTTTTTATTAAGGATGGACGAGTACAGAGTAAAGCTTTTTTTAAACCCACTGGAGAGGGGGAGACATAGAAAAACGTCTGGCCATGAAAGAAACAGAATGGATTTACAAATTGAAAACTTCTGTTCCAGACGGCCTCAATACAGATTTGGATATTTTAGTTTTTATGGACTAATTCCACCAAGATGATAGTATATAAACTGATTTTAATGTTGCACTAATATTTTATTTGTTTATTTTTGTATATATAATTACGAAATATGAACAACCGACTATATGATTGATTATATGTTGCTAATCTTCTTTTTCCTTTCTTCCCTCATTTTATTTGTCCTTGATTGAGTTATTTTTATTAAATTGGGTCTTTTCCAGAATTTTTTTGGAAGAATTATGCTGTTTTATTATACTTCTTTTATACCTTTTCGAAAAATCTAAATTATACTTATTTAGAATTATGTAGTTTTTTTAAATTATGTTTGCTTTTAAAATTATGCCTGTCTCTTTTTCAAAATTATGCTTGTCTCTTTTTTAAAAAATGTCAAAAAATTGTTTTTAAAAATTACGTTTTTAAAAAATTACGCTTTTTAAAAAATTATGCCTTTTAAGAAGTATGTTATTTAAAAATATGTCTGTTTTTTTTATAAATATACCTTTTTTGTAACTATGCCTTTGTAGAACTATGCCTTTTTTAAATTATGTCTGTTTTTCGAAATTATGTCAGCATTAAAGATGGTCAAAAGTATTAGTATACAACTTTTATAAATATTATTTGTAATTTTTAAGACAATTATTATTATTGTTTTATCTGTATTTTTATGCTGATTGAAATGGTCTTGATTGTATTTTTCGTTTTGTTAATATGTTGGATTCACATATTACATTTACACGCACATATATTATTACACTTTTCTCTCTCTCTTAGCTTACTGTATATTTTATATGTTTTAATTATTGGAACACTCTCTATATGTGCACCCAATATATTGTAGCATTGGGGCACATATTGGTTCTTTTTTCATGAGTCCCAATACTGTCCCTGGTGCTTAGAACAATAAAGTTTTTTTGCTTGCGTTCCACAGTGGAGCGCACATGCGCGACGGACGCTGGCGGAGGGTATGTCATCATGTCGGCGCCCGGTCGCGCATGCGCAATTGCACAGAAAGGACGTCACCCAGCATTTTTAAATGCCGAATTGAGAAGGTTCCGGACACGCTCCTGAAGAAGTCTGAACACAAATAGACGAAACGCGTTGAGCAGATATCGACACGGGAATCTGAAGCAGCTGACGGTGAATCACTTGGTCCATACTTGTTGCAGCTTTTGCACAGACCTCCACAGACTGCCAGACCGGGAGATTTAGCCTATTTTAGGCATCAGCACTTTAGCACATATTGATTTTTTCAATTGTGCCACATCGTTTGTGAGTGTTTTAATTTATGTGTTTTTATCACTTTGGAATTAAAAGTTTGCACTATGATGTTTTCTCTTTTTATATCTTTCATGTGAATATTCCTATTTATTCGCTGGAGGGTAATTATATCCAGTCCTTATATTTGGTGATAAGTGGCGCCCTATTTCTGTATAGCATATACAGTTTTGTTTTTTGCACCTTCGTATAGTTATTCAGAAGACTTTTTTTAACACCTTGAGACAGGCAATGAGGCACTATGTCTGGAACCAGAAAAGACCAAGGTTCAAGAGAGAGGTTGTCCTTGGGAAATAGATGTATTAATGCTGCCAGCATTGCTGCAGAGTTTGAAGGGGTGGGGTGGTCAGCCTGTCAGTGCTCAGACCATTTGCCGCACACTGCATCAAATTGGTTTGCATGGCTGTCGTCCCAGAAGGAAGCCTCTAAAGATAATGCACAAGAAAGCCCGCAAACAGTTTTCTAAAGACAAGCAGACTAAGGACAAGGTGGCAACCTGGTGAGGAGTACATAGACAAGTGTGTCTTGCTTACAGTTAAGCATGGTGGTGGGAGTGTCATGGTCTGGGTCTGCATTAGTGCTGCCAGCACTGGGGAGCTACAGTTCATTGAGGGAACCATGAATGCCAACATTTAATGTGACATACTGAAGCAGAGCATGATCCCCTCCCCTCAGAGACTGGGCCGCAGGGCAGTATTCCAACATGATAATGACCCCAAACACACCTCCAAGATGACCACTTCCTTGCTAAAGAAGCTGAAAGTAAAGATGATGGACAGCTAAAGAAGCTGAAGGTAAAGATGAAAATTCTCCACAGCTTTACGCTAGAGAGTATTTACCCCTGCATGCTAATTCTTAGTTAAAGCCTCTCTCGCCCGCTTAGCTAAGTTTCTCCAAATTCACCTCCTGGTAATACAATTTTGCCACATGGCACTAGCTACTGCTAGTCCATCAAAATTTTTCCTTCACCTATTATTTACACTATGTTACATATTGTCTATTCTTCCTACCTAGAATGTCAAATGAGTCCATCCAATGTGATGACCTGTCTTTACCTAGTACTCCGGCTAGGAACGATTCCCCCTCCAGGCAAGGGGAGTCAGCGAGTCCTAGTTCACTAAGATCATGGACTATCCTGAAGATCACGGCCGAATTGAAGAAGAGGAATGTAGCCTACCCTGTCACGGCTAGGAAAGCTAAACTGTTCAGATTATTATGACTGACTCTGAAAAATCTTGTTCCAGTCATGAAGGGATAGTTCAACCAAGTTTGGCCGACCTGCACTCCTTAATCACTAATTTGACCTCCTCTGTTAACACCATTGCTACTAGGCTCGGGGTCTTGGAATCCGCTACGGTTGCTGGTACATCCTCCTCGGCTGCCGTTCCTCCTGTTATCCCCTTTGCAAGTGTAGGAGTGCAGGGTTATACTCTTTTGGTTGCTAACCAGCCCTCTGCCTCCACCAGTACCATAATCATGCCAGCCCATCTAGTTCCTCTGACACTAAGAAAGGACATCTTGGAGGGCAAAGATGTCAACCTGGTGTCCTTACTCATAGCGTCACAGGACATCATCGACAACAAGTCTTACTCGTTTGGTCACATCAGTTGTTATGAAAGCACGAGACCCTAGGCTTAACAAAAAACTTTCTATCCCGGAATTTGTCTTAGCTTTTGGGTTATTTAGGGACGTTATATGTTCAGTTTTTCCCCAAAGACGTGAGGAGTTCGACTTGTATTGGCACAAGCTGGCTGACCTCGGGCATAAATACGACAGATTTAAGTTTTTAGACTATCACAAGTCAATTTCAGCAAATGCAGCCACCGCCCTTGCCCAGTTCATCATTAAAACCGATTGGAGTTCTCTTGATACAGAATTATTATGTAGGCATTTTTCCGTGCTAAAAGTTCCAGCTTGTGCAGTCTGCTCATCCACGACTCACACAACTAACCTGTGCCCCAGTGACACTGAGCTCCTATCCACCAGCCACACCCAAGTTCCCCAAAATGCCAGGCCCATACAACAGGACCTTAAAGACAAGTTTGGGAGACATTATTTTTTAGGCAAATCTCAGATTTGCAACAACTTTAACGCTGCGGGTACAGCGCCTGCAGATTGCTGCACGTTTGCTCCCTGTGTTTCCAGGCACACTCTAAAACCATGTGCCCAAATAGATTGTTCCCTAGGCAATGGGCAATGACTGTCTCAAGTTAACGTCACCACTTTACAGCACTGTTTGTCACATCATCCTTCACCTCGCCTAATTCGATTTCTCACTGAGGGGTTCACTCACGGGTTCCACACAGGATTCGTCACAATCACCTCAGGGATACTCGAATGTTCCAATCTCCATTCTGCCTTGAGCAACCCACAAGCTGTGTCATTAAAGAACTCGAGCTAGGCTTCAAGATTGGCCCTTTCATGCAGCCACCCTTCTCCAGCTGGAGACCCAGCCCACTAGGCGTTGCTACTGCAAAATTTTCAAATAAACTACGCCTAATAATAGGTTTTTCGGCTCCTCATTCTTCCACTACACCAAGTCTAAACTCACTAATCCCTTCCGAGGATTTTTCTCTTCAGTACGCCAGAGTGGATGATGCTATCGCTCGAATCCTCAATGTTGGCAGGGGAGCTTGGTTTTGCAAAACTGACATTACTAATGCCTTCAAGTTCTTGCTTATCCATCCCTCCCTGTGGCATCTGCATGGGGTTAAGTGGAAAGACCAGTACTACTTTGCTACAAAGCTTACTTTCGGTCCCAAAAGTAGCCCCATGTTGTTCGATATCTTTGTGGAAACCTTGTGCTGGCTCCTTCTTAACTACTAGACGATTTCCTAAATATCGAGGAACCTAACTCACCCCCTGTCAGTCTAGTGCAGATGGTGAATACCAATTGGGGTACCAATCTCTGAAGCCAAGACTGAAGGGCCTGGTACAAAAATAACTTTTCTGGGGATTGTACTCGATTCTCAATCCATGGAAGCTAGCTTGCCTGTAGAAAAAGTCAGCAGAATTCTGGAAGGTTTCTCTGCTTGTTTAGATAGAGTTGTTTGCACTCGCAAACAGTTGCAATCACTCTTAGGGACCTTGAATTTCGCCATGAGGATAATTCCCCAAGGTAGATCCTTTATCTCACAGCTATTATGCATGCTGCACGGTTTACCTGACAATGATAGCGTTATCAACATAGACTTCCAAGCAAAAGCTGACATTTCCATGTGGCAATTATTTCTGTCATCATGGAACTGCAAGTCTATGTTCATCCTGCCCATCTCAGATAAAACCCCTGTCATTTGGACTGATGCAGCTAGTACCACAGGTTATGCTGCAATCTTTGGGAACGAATGGGTCTAGGCACACAACCAATTACACAATTTCACCGACTCCTCTGCTCTGTTCGAAATTTTTCCTGTGGTAGTTGCAGCCTTCACTTTGGGAGTATCCTGGTGTTTTCTTGATAACCAGGCAGCTTGCCATATTCTCAGTAGGGGTTGCTCTGAATCATTGGTTATTATGAAACTGGTGAGGAGGCTGACCTGGCTAGCAGCTACTCTTCAGTTTTTTATTACTTGCACGCATGTTCCAGGTGTTCAAAATGTGACAGCTGATGCTTTAGCCTGCTTCAAATTTCAGAAGTTTTTCCGGCATCATCAAACAGCAAACAGACAAGCAACCAGGCCGCCTCTTTTCAAAGAACTAATCCTGGAGTAGAAACTCTCTTAGCGCACAGTAGAAGTTTGTCCCGAATGGGATTGTCTGTTAACACCAGAAAAACATATGACAGAGCTTTCAGGTTATTTACCAAATTTGTGGCAGACTTTCATATATTAAATTGCTTTTCTATTGAATCATTGGTCACATTCGCTACCTATTGCCACATTTCTTTAAAACTAGCACATAACACTATCAAGTTATACCTCACAGGTATCCAACACCAAATGCTTATAACATTCCCTAATCATTCACCTTTCCTATCATCTTATCCAATAAAGAGTGTTCTGAAAGGTATACAGAAGTTAAACTTCTCTCAAAACTCACGATTACCAATTGACAGCTCTAAACCTACTGGACATGGCACCTTTCGAACAACAAACAAACCTCATTATTAAAACAGCCATATACTTAGCTTTCTATGGCTTCCTCAGGCCCAGAGAGTTTACCATCACAAAATTCTCTGACAACAATTACCTAATAATATGTGACCTTGTCTAAACAAACGATTACTACATCTTGACACTAAGACAGTCCAAAACTAGTCAAATGGATCCCGCAGTAGAGATCCCATACTCAGAGCCTTATTAAGAGCCCAGTGGACCTGGTGCTGACAATTATGATGGGCCTAATTACAGAATCTTATCGACAAAAAACACTAAAACACCTCCAAGCGTCATGTATCTGATGGAGATGGTGCTGGAGGGAAAGAAAACAGCAGCTATAAGAAAAGATATACCCTATGCTAATCTCTCTTTAATTTATGTTTTTACCTTTCAAGTAAATTCATAACCCCTAACAGCAGTGTCCAGTGAAGAGGGAAGTCAATGGGCACAATAAAAGGGTGGGCCACTGATGCAAATCACGTAACCTGCCAAAAGGGGTTAACATGCCCAAAAAGGGTGCATGTCTGGCCAAAGAATTGGAAGGCCAGCCTGGCATGAATGCATGTCAGGCTGCCTGCCAATCATGCAAGCTGGCCAGCTAAGGGCATATTATGCAGAGAGCACCCTGGGCTTGGCATAAATGTGTCTAATGATATGCTTGGTCAATGCTTTCTAAGGACTGTACCCTAGCACTTGCTGGTCCACTTGTCTCCTTACCTTCTTACTAGCAGGCAGAAGCTCCTGGTATATAGTCTGGGACAAAGAAAAGCTATATATATAGTGAGTGTAGAAGAAAGGTCCACACAAGTTTTGTTCCCATACATTATCTTTAGTTCCCATACTTAAGCAAGAGTAAGTGAAATTT